ATGCAACAATGATTGCAAGCAAAATGAGCTAATTTATTTGGCTACTGAAAAGTCAAATTCTGGAAATGAAGTCTTTAATCTTGAATCAAGATCACTTAAGAGGAGACTTCCAAGTCTGTCACTTCAGCAGCTGAACTTCCACAGACAGAACATAGCTTTTAAAGGACCGGTGTTGGTGAAAGTATTAGTAAAGGAGAAGCACTGGTCTGTCTAGTTTTAAAGTGGAGGGACAGGGAGCACATTCTGGAATGATGAAACAGGAAGATGGCCCAGCAGGAGGGAACTGGCATATTTACAGCAGAGACATGGAAGAGACGCTGTTCAACAGGCTTTATCATTAGGAAGTTCCTGTATCTTTTAGTAGGACACTTGTCAAAGCCAGCATGGAAAGGAAGACCACTCTCAAAGATAACACCCTCAAGCACAGCAGTGCAAAGGTAAAAATTACCATCTAAAGGTGAAATTCAAATGCCCCTCCACTGCAGGAGACATGCTGGATACTCTGATGTCCATTGGAGAGAGAACTCAGGCTCTGGACAGGCCCAGTCAAGCCTGCCTTTCTACTTAAGGTGACCAATACAGAGATAAAAGATGCACAGCTCTCCATACATCGTGAGGACCACTGAGAACCCCCAGTTCTGAACAGAGAAACTGGGATCTCCTTACAGTGCAACATATACAGCTCAAACCAGTAAGGTATCTTGCTTCCTCAGCACGCCACTTCTATAGCACGTACTTGAGCTATAAATCAGCAAAATTGTTTAAACAAGGCCTGAACACAATTAGTTGCACACTTGAACTGCTTGTTTCCAACATAAAATACAAAGATGTTTCACCCTTAAATACTTGGGACTTTTTTTCTCTTTGCTTCAAATTCACTTCATTTATTTAGAGGCTAAACACTGGCTATGGTGAGGTGTTTGCATAACCTTACTCTGCCAGAACATCATGACTCCAAAGCCTTTATCCTCTCCTGCTTAAAGGGACTAAAAAAAACCCTCTTCCACAATACATGGCACCTCTAATAGCTTTGTATTTAATATTTCTTCAATGCACTTTCAATACATTTAACTTCTACATCCAAAAAAAAAGCTCACTGAATACTATCTTTGGGATTTGTGAAATAAAATTGAACGTCAGTGATGAATTGTACCTGACCAGACACAGTGGCTGAATAATCTGGCAAAATGCCAGGAGAGTTTATCAGTTATATTTAATTAAAAGAAATTAAAAATCAGTCAATCTTACTTTCTACAACTACTGGTTCTATACTTGATAGTAAGGGAGGGCTGAAATGGAGTAAACTCCATTACTTCATAGTGCATCCAGCCTTCTGTGTACCAAAAAGCCAACTTTTAATTTCTTTGCTGTGTTTACTATTCTACCCTTTCCTCTGTCTTCACCTGAATTCTTCTCCAGTAATTTCTGGACTGCCTAGAAATTATTTGTATTCAAAAGAATAATTTTAAATGTTCAAATGTTGAGATCCACTTTTCTTCTAAGTTCCTTAGAACCCCTAAGCAGAACTGGAACACCTACCTGTAGACTTAACAGCAAATAGTTAAAACCAGAAAAACAGTGTAAGCTAGACACTTTCTTTCAAGGGAGTGCAAGTTTAAGTAGACCGGTGACTGTTAATCCTGTGGGGGGCTTTTTTATTCAAACAAATCTTGTAGATCCCTTTCCCACTGTACTACAGGAGCTCTACATTGTAAAATACCTTTCAAATGGAAAAATGTTTCTGTTAGAACCTCCACATACCTGTAAAGTGACTGGAAGAGGTTAGCCTAGTTACAGTGTGTTGGAACATGCAAAGGCAAATTGCACACGCTTCTGAGCTCAGCATTTGTCAGCTGAGTGGAAATGCTGGCTTGTGAGCAAATCCATATGCATAAGAAATTTCCTGATCATGCAAGATGTTTACTACTAAACAAACAAGAAAACTGAACTCTGAAAGCTAATTATTTCCCTTTGCTATGGAAAGCCAAACAGCTTGTTGCAGACCTTAAGTGTCTGTGTTACAAGTATATTTCTTAAAAATGGCAAAGAAATGAGGCCTCAGAAACTGAAAACACGTTCAGAATCAAGGTGCTTCTTTCAATTTTATGCCTCACTTGCAAAAATACAAGGCTGCTACCTCCTTAACCCCTGTGTTTATTACCCCCATGAAAATCAGAATATGAATGGTTTTATACTTCTGGTTAACAGCCTGTGTATCAGCAGTCATCTATCTGAAGGGTAATGCATCCTTTCAGTAACACTTGGGCTGGTTCCCAAAGTATCTGGTGAAAAAAGGTCTCATCCAGGTGTGCTCCACAGAACATGTGTCAGCCTGGGACAGGAGGCAGCACGTGATGAGCCAGGGCCAGGCAGTCAGACAACCTCAGGAGCTGGCAGGGGGCTCAGAGGTGCCCAGGCAGAATTCAGCTCCTCCTGCTGCTGTTCCCCCAGCCACGGGACACAGGAAGAGGTGGCAGGGGATGAAGTGATACAGTCTCCAGAAAACAAGGTGCAGAGCAAGGAGAGGCTGCAATAACTGAGAGATGTAAAGAAGGCACAAGAGCAGGGAAGTGATTCTTCCCAGGGCCTGCGCTGATAAATGGGACTTCCTAAAAGATGCCTTACTAATTCAAGGCAAACACGTAACCAAAGTTCACCAAGTAGTGTCATTATCCATACCAAGGCAGACAAGCAGTTCATTAGCCAAAATTCCAGTGTGACCAAAATCAGTTCCAAGCCTTTTCTATTTACCATCTGTTACAAAGCACCTCATCACAGGGCACTCTCAAATACCAGACTACACACCACAGGCTCATCCCTTCAAGATACAGGGAAATATCAGAATGACAAAACAGCTTTTAGCCTACCCAGTACCTCAAACCCCTGTTTTTTTATTAAAGATTTTCAGTTAAAAAAAAAAAAGAGTATGAAGAAATCTGCTTGTGCTGGGGCACACCTTTCTCATTTTTAATCTGAACCAAACTAGGAAGCTTCATCTAACTCACAGGTGCTGAACCAGCACCTTTTCCAAAGACACTCTTACTCTCTGCTTGATCCTCCACACAAATACCCAGCCATGACCCAAGACCAAGGAAAATGGGGGAAAAAAACCAAACCAACAACAAAAACAACAACAAAAAAGACGTAAAAAGCAGTCAGATTTAAACACAGACAAGGTTCTTGATTCAGTCTGTCCTGTAACCACACAAGCCATCCTCAATGCAAAGGAATGGGTCAGTGAGCAACAAGGCTACTACTTCTCCAGCTCATCACACATCAAAAACTACATATTCAGTACAAGGTCATACCAACTCCAAGCAGGGCTGAATCTTTCAAAAGAGAAATAAACTTTATAGCTCACTGTGTTTACTTTTCAACCCTAACAAAAGCTGCGTGTCTCAAGATGAGGAACCTGTGCACAGGAATTTCTAGTGCTACACATTTCGTTTTCACAAAATATTTTGAAAAAGAAGCGACAGGATTGTACACATCCTTCCCGCTTAAGGGGCACAAATTTACAGAGCCTTAAGAAGGCTGTTACTGTCCAACAAGACAACAGCACTCACCTTACTCACCTTCCATCCGTGGAAGGACTCAAAATAATAATGTAAGGGAACATACTGAAAATAATAGCATAAGACTCTTTGAAAGAGAACGTGAGATTTTCTGACACAACTGACTTTTTCTGAGAGAAAACAATGTAGTGCTTGACCTAGACAACAGAATCTTCTAAACAAACCTACTGATGCTGCTCACTAACAGAATTCTGCCATTTCCAATTCTCCCCATGTCCTTAGAAACACAATGTTCCTGCAACATCGCATCAAATCTGAAACACATTCTGTAAGATGCAACTGAACTAGGCACACTTTGATGGTGGTTGGACTGGATGCTGTCTTAAATTCATTCTAAAAAACCGGCTTTATTCCCTTAATCTCACTGAACTTCCTTTTCACCCCCACACGCCAGAAAAAAATCGACCGTCAATCTTTCCAAACAGGAGTTGGCTGTTAAGTTAAAACTTCGGCAAGACTTAAAAAAAAAAAAACCTTCATCCTTTTTCCACTGCCGCCTTCTCCTCCTCAAGACATCTTTCCCAGCAAACAAAAATCTGAGTTATAAAAGAAAGTAAAAAAAAAAAAAAGGAAAAAAAAAGAACAAAAAGAAAAGTAAGCCCAGGCAGGGCGGCGGCTGCAGCGACGGGCGATGAATGAAGCGGTCGAGGGAGAATTTCAGGGAGCCGGGAGCGCGGGGCACGGGATGGGGAAGGGGAATCGCGGCTCCCTCGGCCCGGGTGGGACGGGGTGCGGCCCACGGGCAGGAAGGAGCCGGGCCCGGGGCCCGCTGGGCCCGGGGCGGTGTCGCCGGGGCCCCGCTGCCCGCCGGCCCCAGGACACGGCCCGGGGCCTCCCCCCCACGGCTGCCCGCGGCCTCCCGCCCCGCCACTCACCAGGATGCGCTTGAAGAGCGCGTTCTCCTTGGGCGGCAGGCTCACGGACGGCATCCTCCCCGCCGCTCCCGCTCCCGCCGAGGCGCTCCTGCGAGGCGGCTGGGCGGGCGGGCCGCGCGTCCCGTCGCCGCTCGCCGCTCGGCCGCCGCTGCCGGGAGCCTCCCCGCCGGAGCGCGGCGGCCGCTACCGCTACCACCACCCCCGCCTCACCGCCGCTGGCCTGGTCACCCCCCCGGGCGTGGGCGCGGCCGCGGGCGCGGCCCCTCGCGGCCCTCGCCGTCCCGTCCCGGCCGTGCAGCCCCGGCCGCGCTCACGTGGTGCCCGCCCGGGCCGCGGAGCCGCCGCCAAAATGGCACCGCCGCGCTTCCCCAGCCGGGTCGCGGCGCCTCCGCGCATGCGCCGCGCCCTCGCGGCCGCCCCGCCCCGCCCCGCCCCGGCAGGTGCGTGTGTGTGTGTGAGGGCGAAGGGCCCCCCCCTGCCCCGTTCGGCTCGGGGAGGCACCGCCCGGCGCCGGGGCGGGGAGGGCTGCCGGGACCCGCTGGGGCTCGCCCGGCGGAGCTCATGGCCCGAGGCGCCCCGGGGCACAGGCGGGGCGGGGCGGTGCCGTCGCTCTCCCGCCCCCGCGGGCGGAGCCGGGCACGGCCGACAAGATGGCGGCGGCGCTGAGGGCGCGCTCGGTGCGGGGGCTGGCTGCGGCGGCTCTGCCGGGCCTCGGTGAGCGGCTGCGGCACGGCGGGGCCTGGGCGGGGCAGGGGGAGGGATCTGTGCCCCGGGGGTTGGCCCGCCGCCTCGGGGGTTCCGCTGCCTACGCGGGGAGCGGCGGCGTCGCCGGGACGGGGAGTGCGCCCCAGCTCCGCGGCCGGGGTTAGAGCAAATCCCTGTGGTTTGCAGATTCGCAGCCCTTGGTGGTTTCTGATCGCGGCTAGTTTCTGCGTTACGACAGTTGATTAGGAAATTGGTGCATCCGTTGTGCCCCGGGGGAAGCTCGCCGTGCCCCCCGCCGCGGTGGTGGTGCCGGTGCTCCTTGGGGAGGTGGTGCCCAGAGCGCCCTTGGTGAGCTGGGGATGGAGGTGAGGAAGGGATGGAGGTGGCGGCTTTCGCCAGGGACAGTAAGAGGCAGCTCTGATGGAGCAAAAGAGGCGGGGGGAGATGGGTTTTGTGGCCGGGAAAAAGGCAAAAGGCATTGCTTCGAATGGTTGGCAGCGCCCCGTCCCCTCTCCCGCGGGTCAGGTGCCTTGCACTGCGTCCCCCACAAGTGTTACGGGGACCACTTCATAATGGCATTTTTTTTTTGTGGGTGTTTTTTGGTTTTTTTGTTTGTTTTTTTTTTTTTCCTGATTGCACGAGTGTCTGTGTTAACGCATTTGTAATCTTCTGCATTTTTTAGCTTTCACTCGTTCCGCGTTTGTTGCGAGAAAACCTAACTATGCCCAACCAAACTGGCTGGGAGTCGGCTTGGCGTTTGGCACCTCTGCTGCCTTGTGGGCTTTTGTAAGTGTTTTCATTCGTGAACTTAACTATGCCAAAAAAGTTGCGGTAGTGATATAAGCGCAGTGACTGCAACCTACTGAGTTGTTTGGGGTAATGAGTGGTCATAGCGGGTGTCAAGATTGAAGCATGATTATGTTGATCCCTTATGTTTTCCCAGCTTCATGTTGAGGTTTTCTTTATAAAAATCAACAACTTATTAAGCTTTTCTCTATTTCAAACTTAAAACAGCCACAACAGAAGAATTAGTTCTTCAAGCCTGCCAGTTTAATGCTTTGACATTATTTTCCCCATTGGTCTTAAAAAAAACACATCAAAAAACCCACAACAACAACAAACCAAAACAACACACAAACAAACAAAAACCCTGGGGATGTGCCCAAATAGTCTTGTGTTTATCAGACTACTAATGCACTGTCTTCTCATTTTTCTGCTGATTAAGGTGGTTGTTAGCTGATTTCAATAGATTAAGACCCCTTTTTTTCTGATCAAAATGCAGATGTAAGATACTATTTTAGAGAATTCAACTGGCTTGATGTTGTTAAATTCACAAGATGTAGAAGCTCTCAGGAAGAAAATGTTACAGGATAAGCAACACTCCCATAATGAAGGTGTTGTCAGGGTGGGGTGGATTCCCTTTTGAGCTTTCACCTTTTTTGGGAGTAGTGAATTGATTGATAGTATGAGCCCCCTGCCTCCAGTTGGTCAGTTTATCCAATGAGGCCTTTTTTCCCACAAGTTTTTCAATTTGATAATTTACAGATGATGTATTCTGTGTTGTCCCAGTTACATATTGGTTTGCATTCCGACAATAGGAATTTTGTATTCTGTAGAAATCTCTTTGTTCTCTGCATCCAGCTGCGAAATTGTATAGCTGTTTATCCTATACTGCTATTTTATAGCTTATCAAGCAGCATAATGAAGATGTAATGGAATATGAAAGAAGACAAAAAGAGGGTCACCATAAGTGTACAGGATGCTCATAGTAAGTGTGCACATACAGATGCTTTTGACTTAACACAAATTTTGAAGATCTCTGACATCTGGTCAAGATATCAGACTGACATTCTTCCCCTATTATTTTTCTTAATACTTTACATCTTGGCTTTTCCTATTCTTCTAACTCATTCCAGCTTTAAAATTATATGGTGACTGATTTCTATTTTCATATATTCACTGTTGGCTTTCTGTCTTGGACATGTGAATTTTTGGACAGTAACACATCTCTTACAGTGTCTGTAATGAATGAAGTTTGTAAATAGAATACCTTACAAATGGCTCAGTGGCAAGGAGATCAGAGTAGCTGCAAATAGCTTTATCTTTGCATCTTTTTTTATTATAACATGTCTACAGTGGGAAATGTCCCTCTCAGTTCCACCTTTATATTAAGCATAAAAATAATGTAAAGTCAATGCCCTTAGATGTGCATTACAGGGCAGATTGTATGTGATTGTTGTCCTTTTCAATGTAAAAAACTGTGTGTCTGCCAGCTGAGAAGTCTTTTTGGGATTATAGCCTCAGAGCAATTAATATGCCACATGAAAAAATTCCTTATACTACTAGATAGAGGAAAAACTTGTGGTGCCGTGGCTATTCTTCCCCATAAACATTCCTCTCCAGATAAAAATACAGGATGTTACGAGATGTTTCTAAGCGTATTCATCACATCTATTTTTCTTGTTGCTAAGATTCTTTTTCCCTCTTCCTTAGGTTGATGATATGCTCAGAGGTAACAGGATCACCGGTTGTCTTACAAATAAGTGAGCACAGCGGGAGTACAGAGTTATGTAATTACTTGTATGTTCATACATTTCATGTGCATAAATATGAAATAAATTATAAAGCCTAGAAGAAACTTTCAAGGACTTTTCTTGCCATTAACATTTCATTCTGCTGGTCTTGAAGGTACTTTATGTTGCATTTCCATTTCATAGATAATCGATCTTATTTCTCTGTGTTATTCTGGAAGATATATTAGGGAAGCCTAATACAACTAGTCTGTACAAATGCCAAAGTGTGCATTTTCCTGTGTGCATTTTGGGAATTGCTTATGCCGGAGAGGTGCCTACAGTGCTTAACGGAGTGAGACCGCACAGGCGTTGTCAGTCTCTGGTGTGAGCACTGCCTCCTCTTCGTGCATCAAGGTCAGTCAAGGACAAAGGCTGCAAAAATGGGACCACAGCAGTCGGCACAATAGGTCATTAAATAATCACAGAGGGAACAACAAAGCGTAGATGAGAAACCATGGGCAGCTGCCTGAAAACAGAGGGAGGAGAGGAGCAGCTGCACAGCTCTGCCTCCGAGACGCCCATGACTGTGACAGTCACCATGATTCCACAGCAGCACTTCCCTTCCAGTGTTCTGCTACCAACACCGAATGCCTGTGTCCCGGTGTTTAACCTGAGTGCCCTTTGTCGTCAGTTTAGGTGATTTCTCCATTTTATTTTCCCCCCTTGCAGTATCTGTTGGCAAAGGAATGCTCTTGGTGAACACCCTATTTTAGTAAAACAGTAGTTTGTTCCTCACCGTCTTCCCCTCTGCTTGCTAAATGCAATCCCTTATATTCTGGGTCTGTTTCAGCACCGCGTACAGCGGCGTTCGGCACAGGGCTGTCTGCCCTTGCGTTCCGGGAAGGCGCTTCCCGCTGCTGCCGGAGCGGCTCCTTCCCCTTACCGCCGCGTCCCGCTCACCCCGCGTCCTCCGGGAGCGGCGTCCAGGTGCTCTGCGCGGGGCGGGGCCCGGCCCGTTCCGCCCCCGCGGCCCGGCGGGGCGGGGATCGCTGTCTGTCTCCGCAGCCCGGCTCCGACGGGCACAGCCGAGTGCCCGCTCCGCTCCGCTCCACTCGCCGCCGCCACCATGTCCCTGTGCAGGGCAGCCTCGCAGGCGCTGGCGTTCCGCCTGAGCAGGGCTCCCGCCGCCGCCGGCCGCCTCAAGCAGCGCGGTACGAGCCCGGGTGGAGGTCACCGGGACGGTGGGAGGGAGCGGGGCGGGACGGGCAGGGGCGGAGGGGACGCGCGAAGGTCGCGGGCGGGCGGCGGGGACGCGGGGCCGGCAGCGGGGGCGGGGGCGGCGGGAGCCGGGCACGGCCGGTCGGGCACCCCCCGGCTCTAGGGAGCGGCTGTCCCGGAGCTCCGGGCGATCCTCTGGGCGGCCGAGCCCGCCGGGACCCCCCTTCCCCTCGGTTCGTGGCAAAGAGAGGGGTCGCTGCTGCATTCCCTCGCAACCCCCCCAGAGCAGGGAATAGCGGGGTACACATCGCTCGGGAGAGCGCTGCCGGCCCCGCGGGAGAGCGGGGATCCACCCGGCGTGCCGCAGCCATGGCTTTTGGCGCATCAGGGGTTGTGTAACCGATGGCAAAAAAAAAAAAAAATATCCCTGCCAGCCGTGCTGGGTGATGGCAGCTCGCTGATGCACTCTCCTTCTATAGCCGTAAACCTCGGATAGGAGGGTTAAGGAGAAACTGCTACGGAATGACAATATAAACGTAAGGAAATCCATTAGGATGCCTGGCTATTGAAGAGGAGTGCGAGAAGTGTGTCATGAGACAGATGATGCCAAACATAATCTGGCACACGATGTCAACGTTTTGAGATTGCGACTATTTTTGCAGCCTCCAGTTGCAGTGCTCAGAGCCATTTTATCTTTCCTGAGCACTCTTTCGATGAGATGCTTCTCATCTGGGATCAAGTCAGGAAATTCAGCTGAAAGCTTTGTTGACCAAGAGAGTTACGCGTGTTTTTCATGTGTCTTTTTTTGAGATGTATAGATGAATCGAAGACTATAGCAAGCATCAAAGCTGCAGGAACAGTGGACACAAATAAAACGTGTAACACTGATGTTAGAGTCAATGTGTACCCAATCAGGGATAAAATTGTGTAATCCTACCTATCTGCCCTGCTGACCATTTCATGAGGTTAAGGTTGTGTATCAAAATGTCAGCAGTCTGTTTGGGAATAAAAGAACGTGAATTCAAAGGAAAAGGCTTTTTTTCAAATTCTCTGTTACTAAACTGAAGAGAATTTGTTACCTCTGCTGATCATAACAGATGAGGACAGACTAATTCTTTTACATATGGGACTTTTTTACATTCCTTTTTTTCTTTTTTTCTTTCTTTTTTTTTTTTAACATTTCTTTGTCTATATAGACTGTATCCAGTACTTGGCAGCTGATGGCAGACAGCGTAGTTCAGAGAAAAACTCACACTCTTAGGAAGAGCTCAGCCACGCACTTCCTTCAGTTGGGAACCCCGCCCCGTTGTTGCTCAGCTGTAGGAAATGTCACTAAGCTGTACCTCTCTGTTTTGTTGCATCTTTTTGAATAATCCTGTCCCAAACAGTCTTCAGACTCCATCATTCTGTTTTGTGATCGTATCTTAGCAGCATTTTACATCGATTTACTTAATGGTTTTTATAGCACCTCTTCGCCAGATGTCATCTGGGAGCGTTCCTGGCTCTTCTGGAGAGAATATGATTATCTATCTCCTTGCTGGTGCTGCTGCTTTTGGTGGTTTATTTTATGTAAGTGTTTTGGGGTGGAGCTGTTTGTGCTTTCTGAGTTGGCATGCTATAAGGTGTGTTCTGGGTTAAAGAATATGGTCAAGGTTCAAACAGTCGATAGAATGTAGACAGTGTGGCATACAGCTGAATACAGCCTGACTTAAAAATCAGCTCTAGAGAACTAGTGAACCTGCATGCCTATTGTTTGCCTGTTTCACTGTTGCTTTGGGAACTAGTGCTGGGTCTTTCTTAGTGGAAAGCATATTTAAAACTATGTGAAATGAATGTGTCCAAAGCTGGAGTGAGGCACCTGCCTCTAACCCCTTGCCTCTTCTTATCAACCACAAACATTAGGAATATCTCAAGGTGGGCAAGACAGATGTGAAATAAGCTGTCTGAAGCTGCAAGGGGAAGATTATGAACCTTGTTAATTTGGGCACTAAAAAGAAAGAATAGCATTAGTTACTTTGAAAAAGAGTGTTAAAGTTTTGTAAATATCTGCTTTTGTTAAGCTTTTCAGTAACCATTCTCTTCCCTGCTTTTAAATATGTCAGACTCTGTGCTTCACATCCCTAAATCCTCCATTTTATACCTTACATCCACCCCCCTTCCCCAAGATCTGAGATAGTGATTAGCACATCCTAGGGAGGTAACTATTTCCCTGTCCCACAAAAAAAATCCTCTTGAATGGTAAGTAGCTATTTGTTCAAAATACCAAACTTGTTTGATTGCATATCCAAAGGAATAACAAATTCTCCTACTGTCACATGTTTACCACATTAGGAAAATAATAATAATCTTATGGTAATTATCTTTTAAAACACTGTTTTCAATTCCTGAAACACAGCAGCACTCCAAAAGGTGCCTGGTATATTGTATTTGCTTTCTAACAATGGAGAAATATGAAATGCATAAATATGTTACTATGGCAGGTTGTTAATTTTTTTTTAAACCTTGCTTAGCATAAATTTTATGTGCCTTTTAAGACGGGCAGTAAGCACTTGCTTAAAAACCCTTCTCTGCCTCTCCCCTCTTTGTGTTTGGTAACTCTGTAGGGATGTAGCAATAAGTTTAGGTGTAATTTCCTTTCAGGCCTACAGACTAGTCAGTTCATCCCGCAGCAGGTTTATTGACCATATGAATGTTCTTCACGAGAGAGCTGAGGGGCGGAAAGGCAACCCTTGGTCAAGGAAGGGTGAGTTGAGCTCTTCTCTCTTGTTCCCTGGGTACACAAGGATCTGGAACAGATTTCTGGATTGTCTGATCGGGCCTTAACATTGTCCAAATCCTTGTCTGAACCGTGTGAGTGGGAGTCAGAACAAAGGTGCTTGTGCAGCGTTGTTCTGTTACAAAGCTACTGCTGCACAAATTTGGGGAATGGCGTTAGTATTAAGGCAGTGAATCTGGCCTTTGATCCACCTGTGAGAGTCTCTGTGGATTTACTGGAAGCTTAATGAAACTTGACTAGATGCATAATGCTGTCAAAATCAGTTTTGTTCTTTCATTTGTTGGCGGGGGGCGGGGGAGAAGATAATATCTTTTTCTCAATCAACAGGTTGGGTCCAGGCCACGTGCCATCTGGGAACACAGTTCAATAGGGGGGAAAAAAAAAGCCCCTACATTTTTTTTTTAAATATTCTAAATTGGACCAATTTTTTTTTTTGTCCCAAAACTTTGATTTTGTCCTTTTTGATTTAGGGTTAAATGAAAAGCAGGAACTCCGTAAATGTATGGCAAATCCTTACTTAGTTCTTCGTGCTTGAATAATTAGACCATGTTAGTTCAAATACTTGTAATGGAATGTTTTCTCTGTCTACATCAATTAATGTTCCAGTGGCATTAATGTAAAAGATAGAACTTTGGCAAGCATGGCCTTCCTAGGAAAAGCAATTAGAAAAATTACTTGAGGAACTTTATATATTTTTATTTAGTTGCTATTTAAACAAATAAATAAACTACTAAAGCCAGAGCAGTTGAAGCTCTTCTTTATTTTTTCTGATGCTGACATCTAGGGAATTGATTTAATATATTTGCATGCACACAAAGAATAGATTTGAATAAAGTATGCTGAGTTTAAATTTTGCTTTCAATGTGAGAACATGATTTGAATTGTCTGCCTCTATAATTATTTCTTTTGAAGCTGTTAGCCTTGAAGTTCCACAACACATCCTTTGGTTTTAGGACTTTAAAATTACAGATTTCGAGATTTAAAATGCTAAAACACCTTAATTTCATTTTACTTAAGCAGCTGTAAGCAATACAGTTTTTAAACTCCATTCTTTAAATGCTGAGAATTCAGTCACAGTTTTAATGCAATCCTTCCTTGTCCCTAAAATAAAAAAATAACCAGGACCAAAGGATATAACTTCTCCCGCTGACCTGGTATCCTCCTGCTCAGGGCAGAAGTGAGGGTTACCCTTGTTCCATTCTGACTGCCACAATCAGAAGAACACAGTAGATGTGGAAGCATTAAGCAAACCCCCTAGTGCACTCACAATGGTATCAGCATGTTCCCTCCTTTCTCTTAAGGTTCACTTCTGCAAGGTACTGAGTTTTCACCCTAGCCTGCCAAAATGTTGGAGTGGGATATACCTGCAGGGTCAGTGGGGCTGTTGGCTGTTGGCCCACTGAAGGCTAAACCTGTGTGGCCCAAGGCTGGGGTAAGAAAAGTACTCAGTGCTCTGCAACTTACCTAATTCTGAATTTGGGTACGCTCCAGACACCCCATAATCTGATGCTTTGTGCTGCTTAGTGACTTACATAAACGTCACAGCCAGTGGCAGATGATTGCTGCCTCCCTTTTTATTGATAGGAAGAAGTCCATAAGAAGTCCAGAACGTTTCTAAGGCCATTCAGTGAACACAGTTGAAACTTGTTTCCTGTGTTGTTTTCAAAATTGGACTTCTGAATAAATGCTCAGCCTGGAATTCTTAATTGGACTTCTGAGAAGCTAATTCCAATTCACAATACAAAACTACAGTTGAATCAGCTCTTTTTAAAAATCCTTCTTTACTCCCAACTGTGTATTCCCTAAAGAGGTTTCCGTTCTTACTTTTCCTACAGAACCCTCTGCGTGCCTTCTCAAAAAAAGATAACATCCCTCTTCCTCCCCCTTTTTTCCCCATTCCCTGCATAGTTGTATTTTTGTGTGTATCTCGTCCTAAAGTGTTACCATAGTATTGCTTTTCCCAGAAGTGCCACTGCAGCTTCTTTCCCTGAGCATTTAGAGTCAGTCCTTACACTTTTTCACAGCAAGAACTGCTGATAAAAGCAATTGAAAATTCTGTTCTCATAGCAATCTGATATTTTTTTAGGGCCACATTAAATCAAGCTCAAAATAAGATCTAAAACAGGGCTAGTAACCATATGAAGTGGTGGACAGAAAAGCAGCACATCAAACAGCACGTCCTTGGCATGTTTGCTGCATATGCTGTCATAACTGAAGAACTTTCTAGGTGGATGAACTTAATGCTGGGGAGCAGCTGATCAGAGAGAGAGCCTTCTGATAGGATTTTTGTGGTTTCTGATCCAGGGGAAGATTCTCCCCTTGTGCCTGAACCCAAAATGCCTATTACAGAGCAAACAAGTCTGTCAAAACAAAAGAAACAATCAAATCCTATTTTGGGCTTGTTTGTTTATTGGAGGGTTGCAATTATACTTAATTGTATTTTAATTGATGATTTCAGACTTAAAAAAAATATCTGATAGCAAATCTCCTGTAGCTCTTTTTAACTGAAAGCTACTCTCAAATTTAGGGAGCGATGTAAAAAGCCCCTGGCAGAAGCTGGACTCGAAGTAGCAGTAGAAAATCTGGGACATCATTTGAACTGTAAAATGATGTTTGGCTTACAGGACATTCTAGTTGCTTATTTAGCAAATACTGGGTTTTGTCTTCCATTTCTGTGTGTCTCCTTTAAACTTGTTCCTGATTTCCTTCCTTTTTAGCTATGACTTTTCTTTTTAACTTGATGCAAGCTGATTCAATCTTTCTAATCTATACTCTGCTTTTACACTTTCCAGACTAAAATACAAGGGAAATCTCTTTCCAAACCCGAGGAAGTTAAATACAAACAAAGGACAGTCGTTCACCATTGCGTACCTTGCAGCCTACCTTGGGATGACTTTATACCTCCTATTGTAAAACTCCATACTTGTGAGACTTTAAAAGAACTACCTATGTTTGCAAGGCCAAACCATATTGAGCTTATTACTGAACCTGCTTTGTAGAAGGCAGTTCTGAGATGGAGAAGCTGGCTGTTCTGGATGAATGCACTCTATATTTGACTGTCCAATAAAGTGTACTGAATGCTGAGCTTGGCTGTTAGTCTGTTCTTTGTGTAATGAATTTAGTTGGTTTTTATATATATCTATGGTGTTTTCTTAAAGGGACATGATCAGGTTGCATAATGCAAAGCTTTGATTTTTTTTTACTGAGCAATGAACGGACTTGCCTTTAAACCTGAACACAAAAAGCTAGGCTTGCACTAGCATAAGAAAACCAAGAGATAAAATCAATCTGTTTAGTTTTTAAACAGATATAAAAGAATAAAATAAATTCTGACTATGTCTCTTTAAGCTCTTTTGTTTCAATACTCACGTAGTTTTTACACTATATTACAAACTTTATTTCCAGTTCTGTTTTTTTCACATGGTGAGTTGGTTCTAGTGGTGGACTTGAGATGAACACTTGGTATATAACTTTCTTTTGTTAACTTGGTGTTAGTGCATGTCTGCATGGTGGTTGTGCATCTTTGTTGCTTTGTGCTGTTAGTTTTTCTTGACTTGTCTCAGTTGAGTTTGAAGTAATGCATGACGGGGAAACACTGGTTTTTTTCAGGTTCTAAAGAGCCCGACCCACAGCAGTGTAGACAAGTCTTTTAAAGACAGTTGGGACTTGTAAGAAGAAAATAGTCATAAGTGGTCATATCTTCAAGAAAGTGAATCCTGACCACTTAAAATTAGCAAGTTATTTTCTTACTTGTATACACCTAGTTTCAGTAAGGGTTTCATTCAGCCCTGCAGACCTTACCCTTCTTATGTGAGCCCTGTGGCTCTTGCAGGGGTCACAGGGCATTCAATATGTCTTTAAAGAAAGCAGGGGCAGTAGAGATGGCAGGGCACCTGTGGCAAGAGAAGGCCCCAAACCCATCTGAAAGCTGTTAACTCCTTGGGTTCAGCATTACTGTAGCTATTGGCAGCCAAGTCAGCCACCTTGAAAACATCCCTGTGCAAACTGAAGGCACACCTTGGCTTGCAGCGCTTCTAAGCTGCGAGAGCTTCCAAGCAGGTTAGCAAATGTCTTATTCCCAGTGTGTTAATTCCACTGCTGGGTGCAAACAAGGGGGGCGAGAGTCGTGCTCGCTGTGACACCTGTGATAGCATCATCACTGGCTCTTTCAGCAGAGTGGGTTTGAAGCAGCACTTGGCAAAGTCCCTTTTTATCCTTCCCTGCACTCCCACCTCTTAGAGTCACTTGCTTTAAGCCACAGTTTCTTTTCTTATTCCACTGAAGCAGTTATGAAGCTCGGTAATTAAGAATATGGTTTCCTCATCTTGTAAACAACCTTTTTTTTAGTGCCCCATTAGACAATATGGGGGGATTAATTACTGATTTTTTGCTGGTTTTTTTTTCTGTTTATTCTGATCCCAAAGCTTAGCTTCCCATTTTAAATTTAAAGGAGGATGGTGGTAAAAAGTAGTTGATGAAATTTTTGTTGCATGCATGCACTTTACTCTCTTTATTGTATTAAATAAATCCTTAGAAGGTGATGAAGAGACGGATGAAGTCACTGAAGCAGAGAAAGCCACGGAAGAGGCTGATGCAGCTGATGCTGCTGGACCCGCAGCACAGGATGAGAGTGCTGGACCCGCAGCACAGGATGAGAGCTCTGGGGAATCCCCAGAAGCTGGAGGGGAGAATGACTTACTGGCTCCAGAAGCATCCCCTGCTGTGGAGGAAGCACAGCAGGAAGCTACTGCTAATTCAGAAGCTGCTGCTAATTTGGAAGTTGCTGCTAATTCAGAAGCTGCTGCAGTGCAAGGTTAACTTATGAATGTGGTTTTTGAGTGTGTTGTGTTGTGCCTCTTACAGAACATTAAGAACAAGCATCAGTGTCCCTAATAGAGTTTGTCCTGCAGTGAAAACTAATTCAGGTGTTATCTTGACATATATTATGAGCGTAAAGTAATTAAGGTTATTAAATCAATGTCTCTGAAAGTGTCCTGCCTCTGGCACCAGAACTACTGTCTAAAGCAAGTAGAATGAAACCTTTATTTTATTACCCCATCCTATTTCTCTTTCTTAATATCTTTTATTAAGTTGAGCATGTAATATGATCAGTTAAACAGTTGTTTTAGGGACCTAGTTCTTAAGGGTTTGTTAAGAAATTTAAACACTTTATTTCACTGGCCATTCCAAAGATAATCATGCTAAATAATTATACCTGTGTCAAGGTAACTTCAAAAGAATCTTGCATAGGAACAGAAATGGTGTCATGGTCTCAGTTTTAATGATAAATACAATACAACATCAGATTGGAGTTAAACTTTAAAACTGATTGATGGCAACATATTCAGTATTTTGAACTGTGAGGGTGTTTGAAACTTTGGTTTACTGTGCTTTTAAAAAAAATCATAATAATGCAAATGCAAACCTATCTGTAATTTGCACAAGATAGAGGAATATAATTTATTTTGTTTTGGGGTTTTTTAGCACTTTTTTTTTTTTTTCCCTACTAACCTTGAGAGGTTCTATCTAAAACACAGGTCAGACTGAGACTAAAGGTATTTTGTCCACTACTCAGTGGTAGGTTGTCACAGTACCTTGAAAGGTGTTAGAAGATTCTGGAATTGTTGTTGCCTTTTTCCTCCGTGACTCCAGTGAGGGATGGGTGCATCTTAACTGCCTTTTTAACAAATGAACTTGAGAAATAGTACAGCACTTCCAATGCCTTTGTGAAAGGTCTAGGTATGAATGGGATTTTAATTCAAGTGTGAGTAGCTCCTGTGCTTGTCCAGGAAACAATCCAGTGCAAATAACATTTAAAAACAATACTTAGTCCGATCTGCTATAAGTTATACAGCTGGTAGAAAGTAGAGGTAAGTATGTTGGTAGTGATTATCACAGCTTACATGTAAAAATATTTATAAGGCAATTATAAAGTTAAAATATCTAGAACCTTAAAAATTTCCATTTCTGTGGAAGTGACCATTTCATTTAGAAAAGAAGCAGATGTTCTAAGAGATATGTTTTAAAATGTCTTGCAGAGTTTACCTGCTCTACAGAGCAATTGCAAAATTTCACTTCAATTTTGTAAGTGCTTGCTTGTATTTGGAAGTGGTTGTATATTCCTTTCATAGTGTTTATCTAGAATTAACTGTTAATTGTTGGATAGGGTGGGATCTTCTGTATGGTAAGTATTTCTGCCATTTTTTTTTGAAGAAGAAGCATCTATAGTATCTTCCCCAAGACACATTGTGCACAAGTTGATAAGATCTTGGGAGGAAATGCTTTCCTGTGAGGGTGGTGAGGCTCTGGCACAGGTTGCCCGGAGAAGTTGTGGATGCCCCATCCCTGGAAGTGTTCAAAGCCAGGCTGACTGGGACTTTGAGCAACCTGGTTTAGTGGAAGGTGTCCCTGGTCATGGCAGGGGAGTTGGAACAAGGTGGTCTTTAAGGTCCCTTCTAATCCAAACCATTCTGTGATGATTCTGTGATAAAGTCTGAGGATCCCATTCTGGACACAGTGGTTTCATGTTCTTACTGATCCCTATTTGACGAGGAGGAATATGTCTTGTAGCTGTTAGTTACTGCTGGTGTTGTCTGGAAGTGGAGGAGCTATTTAGAAATTACTGATTTCTTAGATCTATTTTCTCTGGCACCATAGTGAGGAAAACAGCACTAGAACCACACTTCCGTTATGCTGAGATTTACAGGGGTCTCTGAGGGTCATCTCGGGTGTCCTCTGTCAAACCTTGCTGCAGTGGTCATTCTTTGCTGTGCGGTAGAGCTGGCAGAAACAAACCTGTGGGATATAAAACCGTCGAGAAACTAAAAGTGAGGGAGTGTCCTCCCCAGCGTAGCCACTGCCCGCTGCCTTTGGTGTTCCTGGGGCGTTAAAACTTGCTCCTGAGCACAGCCCTCCTTGTGCCACTGGCCACCAGTGAGGATTGCTGTAAATAGCTGCTGGTGACAGGTGTGTCCAGCCGAGGGTGAGCCCTGAGGACCTTGCCAGGGGTTCACATGAGGTCATGTCCCTGGAGCTCCCTGTGAGCGCTGTGTAACCGGAGTCCTGCCCTGGGAGGCTGGAGAGGCTCCAGCTGCCAGGACACCTTAGCGCTCACTGCTCCCCTCCTCTGGGCCCTGCCTGCAGGAGAACAGATCCTGGAGCAGGTCTTCAGAGGAGTTGTGGCCGCAGGAAGGAAGGTCACAAGCAGCACGTGGTCTTAAACTGGTCTCTCTTTCCTTTAAGCTGTGTAAAAGCTGGTTTTCACTGGCATTGTACTTACAAGAAGATGGGGGTTTTGTTTCAAAAGTTCTCTGCACTCTCTGTGCCGCTTTGCTCAGTGTCTACTTGCAGACAACAGCTGTTGTGTTTTTGAAAAAAAATTGTATTTCTACCTAAAATCCTTCTGGATGTACCTTTCAGTTTTGTATTCAACCATCTTTATAATTTGTGTTATCTCCAGTTAGAGGGGGGAAAAAAAGTGTATCTCCACTTTTACTGACATAGAGAAGAATTTTTCATTGAAAACTTTGGAAAAAAAATTATTTATTTATTTATTTAAAATTTATTTCTTTACTTACTTACTTAAGTAAGTTTTATTAATTTTGTTGGCAGTTTGATGTTGCTTCTGCAGATGAAGGTGCAAGTATTTTTATCGTTACCAGCAAACCTCTGCTTTTTCAAATGCGATCGTTTTAATCTGTAAGGCTTTCTGTAAGGTTTAGAAGTGCCAGGTGCCAACAGAGTGTGCGTATATATATATATATATATATGTATATACACATCTATATATACACATAGGGAGTGTATATATATATATATATATATATACTTATGGAGTATTTATAATGGAGCTTGTGTCCAGCTCCAGTATATATACCTATGGTATGTATACAGATAGCATGAGTGTGTGATTATACCTGGATGTGCAGATAAAATGCCACCCAAGCCAAAACAAATATCAAAGAAACAAACAGAAAAACCTCCCAACCCAGACTTGGAGGCAGATGCTTAATACTTAATCAGGGTAATTGCTGTTTCAGAGAGTTAATTACAATTGTACCTGCCTGGAATTTTCTCCTCACCTCTGTTTAAGCAATTTACAATCCACTACTGGGATCTGGAATTCTGTGAAATACAGCAGCCCAGAAAAGTACTGTGCCATGTTACTCAGTTTCCAAAGTTGTAGTTTCTTCTAATTTCTAATTTTCTTTCCCTTTTTATTGCTTGAGTTGTCATTCTTGGCCACTGCCTGATGCTGGTTAAGTTCCTGCTGTTCTCCTTCTAGTGTACTCTGGGTCTAGGGACCATAAATTAAGATAAGTTTTTCTTTATATAGCAAAATACTATAAAATGCACAGATTGGCCAGCTGCTATTTGGATTAGACAGGGTTGTGACTTCTAGTTTTTGGATTGCCACTATAAACTTTTCTCCAACTCTGGTGTTGAGGCTTGAAGTTTTGGCATTATCAACTGGAATAACAAAACCAGTTAGCCCCAGTCCATGCTTTCTGGGACTCCTGACTTCTGTAGCACAGGTTCTTTTCTAATTTTCGAAAAGAAAATGGTCTCTTCTCCATTTGTTATTTCAAATACCATTTGGGTGAGTGACTAGGTTTGGGGAGGATTAGTGTGTGAATGTGCCAGTGCTTTCCATGTCGAGCTTCAAATGACATTACAATGCCAGTTGTCTGCAGCCTAGAGAAACAAATATAGGCTGCTCTGGACAAGAGTCGCTGCTTTCGGGACAGGACTTTTTGCTGACCCAATCGTACAGCGATGCCAAGCAGACAAAAAAAAAAAAAAAACCTGGCATGATCAGTGCACATTGTTTTTGCTTGGTAACTTACCAAATTCTGGGTGTGCTGACACTAGGAGTGCTTTGAAAATGGCCAGAGAGTCCTCAGAGTTATTTGCAGTTGGTCATATTTGAAGGCTTTCAGAATGACGCTGCTCAGCAGGACAGACACATCCTTCTAGTCATTTGTTTCTGTGAGATGGAGGAATGAGGATTATTTTCCCCTTCGTTGAGCGTGGCAGATTAATCTAGCTAAATTAGGCTCTAGAAATTTGAACTGTGTGACTATTATCCTACTGGGGGAGCATTGTATCTGTGGAATTTCCATTGGGTATTTCTGTTTCACTTTCTTTATCTGTCTCTTCGACTGCTGCACTTACCTTTTATCTCTCTGATTGGCATACACTGGCCACTAGTCTCTTTGCTTTTCCTCCTGTCTTTCCTTCATAAAACCAAGCTTGTAGATGGGTCATCATAGGATAATTGGAAAATCCCTGTTGGAAGAAAGTGAACAATATTTAGAAAAGACTTCTGTAAAAGTTGTGAGCATCTGAAGACCTAAGCTGGTAAATGGAGAGACCGTTCATTTTTGAGCAGCTTAGCTGAAAAGAGAATTTTACAACATGCTTTGGAGGAGGAAGATTTTGGTAAAAGGGAAAACCCCCTAGAGCTTCCCAACTAAGAGTGCAAACAAATAAATGGGGGAGAACTACCTAAAATAACTGTCTTCCTATTTGTCTATTGTAGAGCAATGAGACAAGAAACTTCTCAAGGAAAGATGAAAGCTGGTAAAAGCACATACAGTGAATAACGCCTAAACGATTGCCATTGTTAAGGGGAAAATAGACTTACTGCTTTTGCTAACATTTATAGCTCATTGTCAAGACTTGAAAAGAATCCTGAAATAACTGTATGTATTTAAATTGGAAAGCAAGAGCTCACTTTGAACAACAAAAATTGTTGGCATTTACTTTACCTTAAGTATTATTACCTGTGTTTGAAAATTTCCTGTAAATACAGCACCCACAGGAATACTATTAGTGAAAATTTAGAGGAAAAAATGGCAACAGGGACTCCATTCTGCTCTCCTGGGGTGGCAGTTCAAACCAGAATGGTTTGGTGTTAATTTTTGGGCAATGTTTCTCTTTGCAGAGAAAAACATCCCTTTCGGAAAACAACATATTGAACTTTTCTCCCTTGAAAACCAAGTGGGTAAAACCTGGTGCGTTACTTTGTATGGGGAATGTTTAAGAAAACATCTAACTTAATTAGGAGGTTTTTTTGAACATTCTGGAGGATTTAATACATCAAATTATTAGTGCATTTTCATATATGCCTATTATATTAACTTGCACTCGTTTTCCTCCTGATCCATTCCAATCAGTGACTAGACATGATTCTGTGTTTAAAGCAGACAAACAAATGAACACAATGCAAGTTGCTTCTCATTGCTACAAACCCATGTTACAGAATATAAAACAAAATACTTGAAATTATATGAGGTATTATAAACTATTCTGGATTAACGTGACATGCGCTGTTTTGCTTTTATTCTGACCATTACAGGCTTCTCTGAACCTTTTTGAAATCCATTTAACTTTGCATCTATTGTAGAATGAGTTCTCTTGAAGTGAGTCTTCTGGTCATTAGTATGAACTAATGAGGCTTTTCTTGGGGACTAGTGACCTACATCAGGCACAAACAACCTGTGACATGTTTGGTTGATTGAGCTTGTTTCTCTTCTTTCTATATGGAGTACAGAAAATTTTTATTTTTAATAATGTGGTTCACAACGCCATGGTTTAGGCTCTCAGCTGGACCTTGTGGATTTTTATCTGGGTTACTTATGGATGGGATTGCAAAAAGGAAAACTGTCAGATTTTTATACTGGCAGGATTATTAGAAATCCCAGCCTTCCTCTGTTCATCCAGTTTCCCAAGACCTTGGGCTCTCAGCCTCTGGTTTAGGTTTATCCAATGGAATAGCTGAAAAGCCAAGGGGAGAAAACTCCTGATACCTGTGGGCTCTAGCAGGCTGTTGCAAAGTAGGAAGGGTAGGAAGGTTGGGGCTGCCTTCATGCTGTGTCCAAACAACAGCATGGTCAGGCCAGGGCAGTTCCACAAACAGTATCTTGGCACAATATGGACTTCAGCAGCTGCCAGCCACTGGTTCTTGTTTTGGGCATCCAAGGAACTGATCAGACTGACAAATAACCGGTGCTTCTCTAAATAATTGTTGTTTCCTTGACTCTGTTTAGCATGTAGAACTGAGAGATTTATTTTTCCTTGTGTGAAGAAGCCCAAGTGCTGATTTCACAGTGCCTCACAGAGAGGTGTTGGTCTGTGGTTAACCACCCAGTACATTTTTTGCTTTTTAAGCCCAATGTTTAGGTGTTCAGTGGTTTTTCTTTTGGAAGAGTAAGTTGGATAACTTGGTCTAGCTGTTTAGAATCCTAAATGCTCACTGAATGAAATACCAATGAGCAGAGAGAGAGAGAGCATTTCAGGTGGTCCTGAGTGACATTCCTGGGGTGTGGGATGTTCCTGGTGGGTATCTGCAAGCCCTCCGTGCTGAGCTCCCTGTATCTTCCTGGCCAATGACACCTGAAGCACTCGGTCCTGTTCCAGGGACAGATGCACAGTCCTGCCTATTTTCTCCCAAGCTGCCTTAGCGGTTATGATTTCCCCCTGTTCCTCTTGCTGATGTGGCTGGTGGTGGTTTGAGCCCCCAAGAACAGAGGGAGGAGGTGCTGAAGCCAAGTCAGCTGTGCCTGGAGTGGCAGGTGGCTTCTAACGAAAGGATGGAAGGGGACCTTAGCTGTCACAACTACCTCAGGATTTGGAACAAAAGCCATTGTTGAACCAATTTCTTTCCATTTTCCCTAAAGCTGATGATGTGAGCTGAAGCTGTGATGAAGTTGTTAAAAGGAAACACGATTTCTTTCTGCTACTGCTGTCTTCTCCCCTGAGTTGGATTTTAAGGCAGCAAGTCATCCCTCCTACCCAGCTTCCTGTGCTCTGTTTGTAGCTTCTTGCAAATACATTCTTGAATTACTTTTCAAACTTGGCAGAATTTGACTTTTGCAAAGTTAATTCTACTCCACTGCCAGTTTTCTAAAAGCAGGTCTTTAAACTAAGAGAAGGAACTGGGAGTATTTTGCTCTGCCTATCCTAACCTTTCAGAGGATGTCCCAAGACACTCAGTGGATCTGAGTGAGGAAGCTTTATGTAAACAAAAGCATTGCACTTTAGTATAACTGGGTCTCTAAAAAGACTGTAAGTAAAATATTTCTGTTTTCACAATTAAATTTGTCTTCCTCCCCCCCTGCTGCTTTGGAATTGGTGTGTGACACAGGTTGTGTTATTGGCAGCTTGAAATATCAAAGCCTTGTTTTGTGCTCCAGCTTTGGTTTGTGCGCTCCGGGCAGATTCCATTTGTATTATGCTGGCTAACTTGTATTATTTTAGCTTTATAAAGCCAAATTCTTCTGCAAAGAATAATTTTTGAAGTAATTGGACCTGGCATTGTGCATTACAGATACCAGCCTCATCTTCACTGCTTAGGAAGAAAAATAATTGTGATATGAAGGATACTGCTTTAAGTTAAATGCTTCACTCAGAAAAGCATATTTTTAAGTATCTTTATAAATTGCAGGAAACTGGTACCTGTTCGAATATTTTTGCTGTTGTTTCTAACTGGAAACATCACTTTTCAATGAATCAAATGATTAGGATTAGAATTAAAATATGATAGTTTTAAATATATTGGTAGGGAAATGCGAAACTGAGGGGAAAAATTACAGACTGTACTCCTGTGAAGGCTGTGGTCATCCTGTATGGTCTTGTTATAAAAGTTCCGTCCTGCAGGAAGGAATCCCCACCTCTCCCTGAGCAAGGAAAAAATTGAATATATCTTTCATTTCAAAATCTGGAAACACAAACAGCAATCTTTCCATTTGTATCTTAAATAAGGAAAACTTATACTTACAAAGCCACTTAAAAATACAAGGTAAAAGCTTAAAATCCAGTAAGATTTAAAGATAGTTTAATTAGGCCTACAGGCTATTTGTATCACTCATCTATAATTTGGTATCACTAGATATTAAAAATCATTTATTTCTGCATATAAAATAAGTTTTGCTCGTTAGTTGCTGACTAGCTGCTCCTTCAGTGGAAGTGGAAAGTCTTGACCCTCACATTAATGTGGCTGGGTTTTTTCTGAAGGGCTGTTCTAAGCTTTAAAGCAGTAGTTTAAATTGGCACTCAGGAGACCTCAGTGTCGTAACAAAGGGAAAGTACCTTGCTCCCAGAGTAGTCCAAGCTTGGTTAGACAGAGGGCCAGAACTCCTCCCTCTGGACTCCTCTACTTGCTCCTCTTGGCACTGCTGACATAACTGTGCATGTGTAGAGTAAGAAAAGAAGTCAACTATCTGTTTCTTCTTCTCCCTAGTCTCATGTATCCTACCACTTCCTTCAGGAAGTGTGGTCAGCGCTGATGTGTGAACTAATGTGTGTTGGGGCACCGGGAGTTGGCTTTGTTAGCTCTGTTAGCACGTGTGGTGTGTGGGATGAAGCACAGCTTGGAAAATCCAGCTTTATGGACACTGAACACTAAAGCCTGACAATATTTGCCCTGTAGAAATGCTATCAGGAACATCTTCTACAAAAATGCTTGCAAGAACCAAGTCCGTGGTAGGTTTCAGATCCCACTTATCATCGTCAGTGCCGAGTGGATTCTCTCCATATTTCCCTTCCACCTCCCTGCTTCAGGGTGATCCCATAGCATGTTTCTTACTAGGGGGTAGGACATGACTGCCAGTGTGAGCTACCTTGATTTTGCCCTAGAGCTTTGTGTCCCAGATAAAAATCCAGGCTGATTCTGCGTAAAAACTCCCCCAGGAAAGTTGCAAAGCTTGTTTTAAAGGCTCGGAAGCTTCGGGGGGAAGGCACTATGCAGGCAGTAGGATCTGCCCCTCTGGAAGTCCATTCATGTGTGGGGCATTTTCTTTATTACTGGCAGGAGAAAGTCAGTCTGTGTGTGTTATTTTTTATTACCAGCTGGAGCAAAGATGAGTCAGTCACACAGGGCACACAAGTCCCTGCTTATCTTGCCTCTCTGTTCCGCTGGAGGAATGCTGAGCTCACTAATACTCACACAGTTCAATTGACCATCATGAGGATGCAGAATCATCCAGGATTTGGACTGGTTTCTCTTCTGCTGCAAATGCCCCAGAATGTGTAGTCCTGCACTCGCTCTCAGGGCTGCAACTGTAGCACTTGTAAGAGTAGAAATTGTCTTTAAAGACTGCAGGAGTAACTACTTTACACAGGAAGCAGTTTTTGGTGGTTTTTTTTTCCCTGAAATGATAGGGATAGTTTCCTAAAAATTGCATTTCTAAGTGGAAATGGTTTTGGACATTGTGCTAATAAGCTACTGGAGCTGTCTGATGCTGCTGCCTTATTTTAAAAAAAAAACCAAACCACCAAACACAAGCTTTCAAAACAAAAACACCATTTCCTTTTGTCTATAAAATCAATTTCCTTCGCTTTATTTACTCAACTCAAACCAGATGTGTTTACAGAACAGAACTGGTCTGGTATTGCATTTGGTGCATGTGTAATGTGCTCCTGATGGTTGCCCAGTCGTGTTCTCTTGCTGCATGCGCAATTTGGAAGGATTTATTTCCTCTCAAAATGGTTATCTTCTGAAGCAGAGGAGCTAAAGACCACTTGGGGGTGCCTGTAGCTGTCCTGGGCAGAAGCAGGTGGTGTTTTGGTGAGGGTTCCCTGTTACACATAAGCAGTGGGTGTTACACAGATGGCTGCACAGTGGATATGTGTTGGGGCTCTGACTAGCCTTGAGGATGTTTGTCCTCAAAATCCTAGGCATGTTCAAATCCCTTTGAATGCTTTGGCAACAGCTGTTGATGCAATATGCAAAGCCTAGCCCCTTGCCTGCAGTTAGTAGACATGATTAGTTCGATTTCCCTGAGACTTGAAGTTCCTTTATGTTGTTGTTTGCTAAAATCACAAGGCAGTTAAGCTCCTAATTCAGATCTCTAAGTGCTACAGGATACATAAATGCCTAGCAAAATTGAAGAAAGCTGTAGCCAGTGATACTGGGATGTAGCTACTTATCCCAGGGGAAAACCTAAAATTGACAAATGCCTGTTGAAGAAGCATAAGAAAAAAAAAATCTGATTTTCAGAAAAAGTAGCTAATATTAAACATAGAGGCAGAGAATTTTGCTGCCAATATAATAGCTTGTATGAAACTGTGAAGTATACCTTCTGTATACCTTCTGTAGAGTAATATATCCTACTAAGATGGATGGGGTATGTCATAACACACCAAAACCTCTATGAAACAGGAAAATTATGAAGCTATTGAATTCCACTGCTATCAATAAATTATTTTTTTTTTGGGGGGGGGGGCGACTTACCCCTACAGAATTAAGAAAAAGCCCAATGAACACCACTTTTGTGAATATAAGAGGAAACTAAAACCCAAGAACGTTCCCTTTTATGGCAGGTTTTAAATTGTGTGGGTCAGGGTGAAATCGTCATTTGACAGGAATGCTGCAGGTGGGTGTTTTGGTAAAGATGTGTTAGGAGTGGAAGGGGTATTGTGCTATATGGACAATAAAGCATCTGGGGCATTCAGTGGAAAGTGTAATATCAATAGCATTCAAATACCACATGTCCTCATGGCAGAGAAGCAGTTACAGAGGGAAGATTATTTTGTTTAGTTACACCCTGTAGAAATTACAAAAAAGCTGGTGTAAATGGACAAAATGGGTTGTAGGTTTCATTGCATGAGGAGATACAGGGACTTCAGATTTTCTAATTGATCATCATTCGGGAAACGACACAGAAGTAGTTAAGGTTCTATAACTCTTCTACAACTATATTTAAAAAATAAAGAAGCTTAAATTTTATTATTTGAACTATCCAAAGATAGAAGTGATTTCAGTTACATCTGTTAATTGCTGCAGAGTTTCATGGCAGGCTTATTAACAACTTTGCAATAATTGAACAGACAGAAGAGTAAAATCCTTCGTCCAGGGATTATGGAAAATGAGTCATCATTGTATCAGGCATAGATTAAAGTATTTTGTATGAAATAGGGTGTTACTGCAGGATTTTACATGGAACAACTGCGAGAGATTAAACTGGATTGAAAAAAAATGAAATGCATACAGATTATTAAAAAAAAAAAAAAAAAGAGAGAGAGTGTGAAATAGCACTTAGGTTAAATTTAATATCCAGGGAAACAAAAAGGAGATATTTCTAAACTTTGTAATGCTTTGTGCTACCAGTGGTCAGTAGGAGAAGATGCGAGGGACTCAGGCAGTATGTCTGATGTTCCTCTCACAGAAGACCCCACGTGTCACTCCCAAATTTGAAATAGGCAGGGCACTCATTCTAAGCTTGCCAGTTTATCATTTGTCTGGTGTTGCCCTGGGATCACAGCAATTCCCTTGGACAGAGAAAAACACATTGGCCTTGTGAATGGGATACAGAGCATTTGTTTCAAGATGTGTACGGACCACTAAAAATATGATGAGATTTGTTTTGGTGTCAAGTGAGTGCTCAGAATAGCCTTCATGAGGTTATAGACTGCTTCTTAATCCCATGTTGTCCAAAGCACCAGGAGACACTTGGATATCTGGCTGTAGTTGCAACAGGACAAAGAACTGATGCCAAAATGGTCTTTGTTGGCCAGTGTGAGTCTTTGCTGGAGATAATGCCTTAAGCCATGGATTATGACCCAGTGAAAGCTGCCCTGTCTGGTGTTGCCATGAGCACCTGCACTTGCACCAGCTCCTGCCATCTTTCTCTTCTCCAAAACAGCCCTTCAGCTGTGGCACCAGGAATGTGGCTCCTGCGGGAACTCTAGCCACGTGTGCTCCAGGAACGGATGGGAAAGCCACTTGAATATAAAAAAAGTACCAGCTGGAGATTTCTGCACTAAACAAGGACAATTTCTTTCATAAACACTGTACACTCATACTACAAACACAGCTTTTCAAAATGCAATGTCTGTCCCTGCTAGTGCCTTTGTATTTTAGGGAGTGACAGCCACTCCACAAAGACCTGGATGGACACACTGGGAGGAATCCCTATTTTGTTGCAGTAGATTGCCTCTCTGATAGCCATAGAGAAAAATTCAGACCAGAGACAAATTTTTCAGTACGAGTGGTATAAGTGTTAAATGTTAGGTTTCAGGGCAGGTATTCCTATATGTGACAAATAAACACACTTCCCATCCAAAGGAAATGAGGTTTTATTAAAAAGCAGGAAAGACCATGTTGCTTCCTCTACTTGCTTCCTGATCTACTCTTCTTAGTGCAAAAGAAATTAAAACATTCATGAGGAAAAAAAAAAAAAGTGCTATCAGCCAGAGAGTGAGTTTTTGGTAATATAAGCTGAATGTTTGATGCTACAAACTCTAACCCAGCAGCTTTTTACCATAGCAGATATATGGCATTACATCAAGCATTGCTTGCTGTAAAATATCTAAAGTTTCAAATATACTGTTTCAATTGCACGGCTGTTTCCTATAAAGACAAAGGTAGCAATTCCTGAATGTTTCTTTTTCAAAATGTTGTCAGTATTCTGAAAAGTGAAGTGAAATAGTTGATATACAGAATATGCTGTATTTAACTAGCTGCAGGGTAATATTTGGAAAAAGGCATGGGATGCTAGCTCTATAAAACTCCTATTTACTGCACTTATTGAGCTTCTGATGAAGCTGATTAGTTAACTGTATCTAACAGACAAGAAAGTCTCTGCAAACCTTATCCCACCGACCAGTTGAGGTATGTAACGTTGGAGACCTCTGACAGGAAGGCTCTAGAAGAACATGGTAAGGGAGAATTTACTCAGGTAAAATTTAACATGCAACTGCTGGGTGATGTGTTCACTCTCTCTGCAGAGCGTATCTGTAAAGAGATATATTACTTATTACAGAGTTTTTATACAGACAGATTGCTTTATGCTTAAAGGAGGCATTAAGAAATGGCTAGTTGGCAACCATGGAATTGCATCTTGAACCTTCTGTCTGATGTTAGGATATTTCTACATTAAAACTACCCATGGTTATGTGGAGTGTATATGTAACGTGTTGATCTGACCAGGATTATATCTCCATGGAAACTTTACCATTTACCTCTTGCGCATCATTAATAATTTGACAGAACTAAAAATTAAAACAACTCCCAACAGTATCTGCCAGAGAGAATGTATATGTTAGAGAGTACTTGTCTATGTCTATATGCGTGAAAATAGCTCAGGTTTATAGTTCTCTGCCCTAGAGCTGGAAAGAGTTAGACTTTCCCTGGAATTCCACTTGAGAAGTTTTATTTGCATGATAGAATTTAATCATCTGATAGATCCTGTTGTTTTCAGTTACTTCAAGCATGTATGTTAGGCAGGTCCTTCGTGCTTTGTGAGCCTTGACTACTCACCGTCATTTACTGTGGTGAATGGAAAGAGGAGACAATTATCTCTCTAATTTGATTCATAGAATCTGTGAGTGAAGTCTTGGATGTTGCAGCTTCTCCTGCCCTTGAGGAAAACTTAGACAGTGGCCAAGAAGGAGTAGCCTCAGCAGCTCAAGAGCTTTCTGACACAGCCTCTGAGAGCCAGGACGCTGATGCTGAGGAGTCGTGGCAAACTGCAGAAGGTGCAAGAGTACAGCTGGGTCTGAAATGCCTTGTCCCTGAAAAGCTGATGGCTGTGTGCACTGAACAGGCTGCAAGTGCATGCAGAGCTCAAGTTGGTGCAGTGTGGCTGCCCGTGCTGGCTGTGTTTGGCATCATAGTGTTAGCAGGAAATCTAGTTTTGAAATGATATGCTGTGCAGTAGGAACTTAGTTCTTAAGAACCTAGTTCTTAAGTTGGATCGTGGTGGTGTCTTGAACTCAGTACCCTGCTAAGTAAGTGGCTAGATGTGAACTTCATTAAGAACAAGAAATTCTCCCTGTGCTGCTTGTAACACATTTTTTTCAACATCTGACTTGATTTGAAAAATGGAATTTTCTAAAATTACATGGGTGTAAAGAAAAATATAGCTCATGTGGTATTAATAAACCTTGCAGTGTTTCAATGGAGCAATAAACAATCTTATATTATTGCTGTCGAAGCTGAATGATGTAACTGAATGCAAAGAAAAACGTGTGTTAAAGTCACTGTGGAGATTTTCAAAAGAGTTAGAAGTTTGGCCTCTAAACTCTTTTAAAACTAGAATCAAAAAGCTAAAAGAAAAAATGTCTGTATACTTAATATGACTTTGTGAATTGTATCCCTTTAGTCTAAACGATCCTTTAGACTAAAGGAAACAACTTACTTGACTATATGTCATCGAATAAGTTGTTTTCAATGTTTCTCACTGCTGTTTCATTTCCATTTTCAGTTTCTGAGGAGGAGAAGGCACCTGAAGAATCTGCTAAAGACTCCTAAAGGTACACAGTACAGTTGCAGCACGTGGTTTCCTGCTCTTCACCTATTTTTTTTTTCTCAGGTAGTGGCAATTTGCAGCATGTGATAAGTCTGCACATGCACGGTGATGGTGAATTTGTATTTCTGCTCCCAACAAAAAAAGAACTTTACTGAAGTATTTCTTAATTTTGGGGAACCATTCCTGGCATCTTTTAGAGGCTCAGGAGCAAAACTTTCCTATCTCAATTGTCATTCTGGGTATTTATTTATAGCTTTATCTTAGTCCAATGAAAACTGAAGAAAGACCTGAGAATTGTAGCTTTCTTCTAGGCAAAAAATATTCTTTGGGCTTTTGGTTTAAATTATATAGCTACTGGACTTATGAGTTATTGGTCTGTACAACAGAGCAACAGCCTTCTGGACTGTTTTATTTTAAATACAGTTTTTCACAATTAATATGTCTGCACTTTTAGTTTGTGCTAATGAAAATTACTGAATATAATACTCATTCTGTTTTGCCAGTGTCTTTGTCAGTTGGTTGTTTGGGTTTTTTTTCATTGTCAGAAAAGTTGTGCCTCTCAAGGTTGCTATTTTTGCTCAAAGTGAAAGCCAAGGGTACCTGAGGGTATCACATCAGAAAACCAAGTTAGCAACAAATTCTCTCCACTCTGGAACATATAAATGCAGTGATATAGAGAAAGAAATTGAGTTAAGAGTCTTTTTTTGTTCTCTTGTAAACATCTGGCAACCCCACAAATTGTCTCATTGCTATTCCAGGTTTTCATTTAGACAACAAATACCCAATACAGCCCATTCAATTAATGAAGGCAGAGACAGTAACTGAAAAGGGTGGAAGGGGTAGGGAAGGCAAGCTGTGGGAAGCACCTTTGATGGAGCAAATTGAAAATAGATGAGAAAATAGATTAATCTGCCACCAGAATAGAGGTCCACTGAGTTCTGCTTAAACCACTTGGACTATTTTTGACAAAAAAATTACTTTTTATGGGTATAGCATCACAAGGTTACAAAAGGGTCTGTTATTGAGTTCCAATTTGATCTTGTTGGGGGTGGGGAAGAGATTTATAAAACATTTTACTACTTAGTGCTGGAAGATTACTGCCTGTCATTTTACCATTGTAGAAGTCAAGAACCACATCGCATTCCCAGTCAGGAAGGAATACATTCTTCCTTTTTTTTGTGTGTGTGTTTGTTTTGATTGTGAGCACTTTGGAGTATGGAGCGCAACTTCTGCGTTGAAAACATCATACTTTCTAGGGGATTCAAGGCAAAGGAAAAGAAACGAAAAGAATGTTGATGTGAGAATAAAATCACCATCCAGTTAACTTTTTAAAAAATACCAATTATTTGGGGAAGGGACAGAAGTAGTAGCAATGGATTAAATCCTCAGATAAAGCCTTAAGTTGCTGCTGAGAGTGCGCCAGAGTAAGGGTGTACAGTTCTACTGCGTGTGGCTGTCGGCCGCAAACTGACACTGCTATGGAGCTAATTATATCAGTAATCTCAGCAAACACAATTGGTTTACTCTGTTCTTAAAGTTAAGCGAGTAGCTATTTGTGGAAGTAAGACTTAGTGGAATGTGTCCAGCACACAGGTAAATTCACTTGTACCTGAGCAATGCGGATGAAGATTCGGGGTTCCTTGAAATCGGGCTTTATCGGTGGAAACAGAGCAAGTTTTCACGAGCCATCAGATAAGCATGATTTACAGAGCAGTAATGGTTATATGCTGTAATTCACTCAGCTGATAACCCACAGTCAAATTTACAGTGTGCTTGGAATGTTTGGTCGTGGTCTGTTGCTAAACATCATTTCTTGTTGCTTCCTCTAAACCAGGTTCTTTTTTCTGTTCCCCAGTAAGCAGTGCTGAAGCCTTTGAAAAGTTTAACGGAAATATTTGTGGCAATCAACCGGCTGATTCCTGTGTGAAACCTCATACTCTTCCTTGGAGACATAAAAGAAACTGTGCAGTTTGTCATGCCACACACCCCTCATTAGGACCAGTATTCAGTGCTGCAGCAGATGAGATTTAAGTTGCTTAGAGAGACGCTTCTGTGATTAACATCTCTGCTGTAGAAAGTAGCATCCAGTCAAAGCACCACTCAGCATGTCCTAAATACGTGTGCTAAGAGAAGCAGTAGACTTAACTAAACCATGCCAGGTGAACTCCTTCTAGGTCTTTTGTTGTCTCAATTTCTTACTTTTGGTCCAAACTGCTGTGCATAGTTATTCCATTGTAACATTCCATGCTAAAATGTAAGTAAAAGGCTTTAAAGTCAAGTCAAAATCTTCTAAAAATTACCCGTTAGCATTTTTAAACTGGATCATGGGGAAAACAGCAACCTGTTTGCTCCCACGTTTGGATTTACGACTGTAAGCATAGGACATCTGGCTGTACAAGATCTAATTTTCCCCCTGCGTAAACATTTCAGATACTACCCTTTCTTGTACAATAATATCCAGGACTAAACATTTTTAAGGCTCCTTCTTTGGGAAGAAAACCTATTTGCAAGTGCTATCACTGAGTACTTTATAGGACGACAATCAAAATAACACCGGTTGATGTTATTCATCGTGGATTGAAGTGGTGGCTCCTGCCTTGGGGATGCTGGGCTCTGCTCCTACCAAATCTCAAAATCCCCATGGAAGGCTATGCAACAGGTGTTCAAACGGACAAGGATTCTTAGGGACTAAGAAAGAGCAGAATAGATAAATAATCTTGTGTTCTTAGTACTAACTTGATAAAGAGTACATCTGTTATGAATAATGGATTTGTATGACACTGTTCTCCTAACCCTCCATCGTGCTACGTGCATGAGTGTGCATCTAAGACAAAATGCTGAGACCCATTACAGCTACCACAGAACGGCAACAATTCTAAACCAGGGCCAAATAAGGTATATTATATACTATTTGTATAGAAAGTGTGCTTTATAAGGTGTATCTGACTCTTCTCTCTTCAAGCAGAACACTGGAAAATGTTTAAAAGGGAAATGACGGCATTATGACATTGGCACAAAGCAACACATGCTGCTTCCCCCATCGTAAAGCAAATTATAATACTGTTCCAACAAAAATATAGCCTGTTGCCCCTGGACCTGCTTAGGAATAACTGGAATAATGCAGAGGCAAAAACAGGCTCCTGAGCTTCAAGAAGACATACGACGGCCTTCTGCTTCCAGGATAAAGCCTCTGTGATTAAAAGCAATTTTTGTAGACAAAGCTGCTGGAATAAAGGTCTTAGACTGATATTTCGTTGGATAAGGGTCTCTCTTTATTTATCTGATAGATTAAACATCCTGGGAAGGATGCATACTCTTATATGTTCTATTTCTTAATTGTTACTGACTCCCAGTGAAAATTGAAAGAAAGAAGCTGTTTTTCTGCTGCAAGCAGTAGGGTTTCCGAAATTGTAGGCTTTGCTGAATGGCCATTTATCTCTGGAACTGCTCTGGTACATGGCAAAATATGTTAGCCCTTTGGAACAGCTGCCTAAAGGGTTGAATCACAAACTGTGGTGAGCTTTCCAAAGCTTTTAATCCCTCCAATTTGAAATAAAATTGAGTGCCAGGATAACTTTATGTCAGGGATCCTCTTTTTAATTTGTTTTGTTTGTGTTTTTTTTTAATTTAAAAAAAAAAGAAAAGAAAAAGAAAAAAAGAAGACACTACTTTTGAAAGCCAAAGGAACTAGGAATATATTATGAACTCTAGCTGTGATGAGATGTAGCACAGCATGGTCTGCTTCAGCTCTTCGATTATCCTAGATTAAAAACAGAGATATTTTGCAATGGAGCCCCTGGTGGTCTAGTGGTAAAGGCGCGGCGCTGTCACCGCCGAGACCCGGGTTCGATTCCCGGTCAGGGCCACTCCCGGGCAGGTGGAGCTCGTTAGCCCTTAAAGGCAACCCACCTACGTCCTAAGGACCTCGCTGCCACCGTCCAAGCTCGCTTGGCCCCGGCAGATGAACCTTAGGATTAAAGGGCGGGCTCAGTTCCGCGCACACTGTGTCTCACCTAAAAAATCCAATGCGCAGGCTGGAAGGTGTAAAGACCTTCCCAGATCTTCACTCGTGAAGACTGGCCATTATATTTTGCAATTCACGGAGGTGTGGCCATCGTTTATTATTTTTGTCAGTTTTGCTGATGTCGAGTCTAATTACCACATAAATGAATATTTCTCTGTCCTTCACCTTCAAAAAAGTGAATTTTTGAGTTGCTGCACAAAGGTTGTGATGAACCATAGGAAATGCTGAAAGGGTATTGTTGAAATGGCTCGTTAAGGTAAGCAAGGCCACAGCAGAGAACAGACAAAACACAAGACTAAAGGAGACGGGAGCAAAGGTTTGTTCTCGAGAATACACTTCAAAGGCCGAAGTAAAACTTGAGATTCACAGATTTGTCCAAATTGCATGTTTCTCCTTTGCTGTCAGCAAGTATCTGTGAAAACAGCTGGCAAAGCATTTCACCTCCCTCTAGCACTGGTTATCGTGAAGGGGGACAGCCTGCTGCTGCTGCTGCCAGCTGAAAATTCTGGAGACAGATGAAGTCCATCTAACCAGCTTCAGGTTTACTCTTTGCCTGTGTTGATGTAAATAAATATAGAGTTTCAATTCTATATTAATTTGCTTCTTCAAAACTAAAGGCAATTACTTAAAAAGATAGTTCAAACTACAAGTTGGTACTCAATACTTGGACAATCTGAGAGTGAAATACTTTAATCAAGATTTGTTGTGCCTGTGCAGCAAAACTTTGATGATGTGATAAGATACTACTTTTTATCTGCTTTTCTGGGGGAAAAAACCCCAACCAAACAAACCAAAACCAACCAAAAAGAAAACCAAAAAACACCCCAAAACCCACCCCAAAAAACCCCAAAGACAAAACCCCAGTGAACTCCAACCAAGCCGAGAATATGCTGTGATTTTTTCCCTCACCTGTTGGCCTCTCTCCCTCAAACATTTTGAACCACAAAGCCACCCCAACTTCTGTTTTACCAGACTGGTGGGAGGGACACAGGTTTCCTACCAGCTGAGTGATGACTGAGAAGATCAGTAGCTAAAATAAGTTACTTGTTGTGTTTTTCAGCAGAAAAGCAAATTTATGATGCACCTCTGCAGCACTGGCTCCAATCAGCTACTGTAGTTGCCGTTTGCTCTCTGCAGGTGCTAAGCAGCGCTGCAGGAGAGCGCTGAGAGGATACAGCCACATACGGGGTGAGAGAAGACAAGCACGAACAGGAAGAATTTTGTGTGACAGGACACGGGAGCTCACTTCGTCTGCTGCACGTGGGTTAGCTCATTTCCAAGGAGTGCCAGCCCTATTGCCACACAGACAATTCTGCTCCTGGGGAAGCTATTTCTTGGTTGTGTGCTTTTCTTTCTTGTCCTGCTCTTGTCCTGCTGCAGAAGATGGAAGCTGTGCAGGATGATGGAATTTAATTCTGTCCTAGAGTGATGGGCATCGAATGTTACCATGGGTAACTGGGTTCTCCTGCATTCTGGGCTTTACTCCTTTGTTTGGGATGCTGCAGGAGATGTTGCCTCCTCCAACTTTATTGGAGGGGGAGAAGGGCTAAAACTAGAGGTTTCTATGCTGGAGTTATTCCTGCTATTTGCTTTAACTACAGGTAATTAAACAGGTTGTAGAAACAGCATGATTTGCTTGTCATTCAGGTGTCTGCAGGTGTTCTGCACTTCCTCTTGACATTTTACCGAACTCAAATGATGGCTGTAGCAAGCTCTGAAAGGCTGTTTGTGATTAATGCTTAACAGCTCCTGCATAGCAAACAAACAGGGAGCTTCTGAGGAATAGAAGACTCTTCTTCACGTGGTCGATTAATTATTTGCATCAGCTTCATGTGCAGATCCAGTCTCTTAATTACCTAAAAATCTCGAGGATTTTAGTGATAGTTTTCCTTATTTTAAAACCTTCATGACTTAGTGATCTTCCAAAAGGTATCTGTGTGAGCTCTGCTTGTGCCTTGGGAAAAGTGTTCTACATTGCTGTGGTTTCTGTGTTTCATCTCAGGAAGTTCAGCTGCCTGTGCCTTCCCTTGTCAGTTCAGCAGTGACTGTGGTATGCAATGCAATTAAATTAAAGTGGAAAATACAGAGAATAAGTGGAAGATGAGAGACGGTAATAAGTATCCAGCTCATATTTCCCCTTTCCCTTTCTCTCTCTGTAATTAAATTAAATTACTGAGGTCCGTAGAGATTCATCGATCAACTTCCCATAATGAGATTTTTTTTCCCTGGCTTCTTTCTTCCTGCATACTACTTCTTTCTCGGTAGTTACTTGGAAATTTTATTCTCCAGTGAGGGCTAATTGAGAATAATTAACCACTGGACAGCATGCACTGACATTATCAAGCAGAAGAGGGCAGTAAATCAAAAGTAGTACAATTGCTAAAACCTGGAACAGAGAAAGAATCCCTCATCCCCAAAACCTGGAGTTGAACAATATAAGAAGAAATAAATGATGTATGCTTTTTTTCCACTGGAGAAAATTTGCTTGATTTTTTTTTTTTTAAATTGTCGTTTGGAGAAAATCCAAATCATACAGATACTTTTCATTCCACTGTTTTAGTAGGTGCCTAATTTCCAACGCAAAGTATTTGGTGCCGAGGCTCTTACAATCCAGGAGCCAAACCTGGAGTGAATGCTCAAGGCTTGGTAGTTCTTGCCAATGGGAACACAATGAAGCTGGATGTGAATGACTTTATTTCCATTTGAATTATTAATGAAATTCTATAAAATCAAAATCACTGCAGTCTCACCCCTTTTCACTTACTACAAGTATCAGCAGCAGAAGGAAGTTACACAAACTATTCATTCCTAGTTATAAAAGAAGAGAGAAGGACTTTGAAGTGTCTGAAGTTGTTACCTTATGAGAAAAACCTTAATAGCTTGATTTCCACCTCCTGCCCATTCCCTTTCAGCACGTCTCTTCTCAGAATCTTGTGTTCTGTACCAGTTCTGAGATATCCTCACTCAGCCCCATCCATGTGAAGACATTTGCTATTTGCAGATCTTGGCTGTTCCTAAATGAAAAGTAGTTTTCAATGCTGAAATATTATGCTATGAAAAGACAAATATGCCTTTGAGGGCAATTTTTTTTTTTTTTTTTTACTTTTTCTTTAAATCAAACTAGGTTAGTCTCTGTGAAACACCATCATTTCCAAAGGGTTTCCCTGTATAAGAAGGGTCCCTTGTGAGCATTTTGCTTTCTGCTACATCTAAATTAAGAAAACATATATGCCATGTACATTCTATGTATTTTTGAGTGAAAATGAGGTTAAGTCCTCTTCCACACTTATTCTTTTTTTTCCTAAAATATTGTAACTGCTGTATTTTAAAGCCTATCTAATAGGCAGCAACAAACCACTTCTTCCTTTATTTCTGTGTAATTCTTTCTATCTTAAAAATGAGACAAATTTATCCATGACTAAATCCTGCCTGAAACAGGCTTGTTTCAGCACTGCATCACTCCCCTGCTCTAATCACATAACTCCCATGTAATTAGTGGTGTTACAACCCTTGCTGAGGATCAGAAGCTTCTCATGCTCACCTGCTTTACAAGCAAAGTAGCATTGCAGCTTTAAGGAAAGGAGAGGGTGTTCTTGGGTTTTGTTTTTGTTTGAGGTTTTGTTTTGTTTTGTTTTATTTTCTTCTAACTTGCATGCTACTAAGAGAAAATTATAAAGATGATGGTGAATTCAGAAAGGATTAGGCTTAGACATGCAATTTAAAGGCCTTTACTGTAAAATATAAGCTGCTTTAGTAGCATACATTATGAATAAAATCCAGGGGGTAGGTAGGAAGTTTAAGTAAATTTGAGTTAAGCTGCCACTAGTCATGGGTCTTCATAGCACAGAAAATTTGCAACAAGTCTGAAACTTTGCCTTAATTTTGCTGGATCTGGAATTCTTCACAGATGGCACCTTTGTGTATCTGATATTTATCCTTGGCAAAAGAAATATGCAAATCAACAGATCTACAGACCTCAAATTAGGTCCCATACCCCTGCAAAAATAACTCCAAAAGCTAATTGGAACTAGACAGTCTTTAATGTCCCTTTCAACCCAAACCATTATACGATTCCATTACTTGGGGAAACACTTATCCCTTTGTCATGTAAGAAACAGATATCCAGTGGCCCTTTCTGGACTCAGCGTTTGCAGTGTTGCCTGAGATTGGTACTAAAGATCTGTTCCAGTTATCAGTAGTGTGTCAAAGTAGCCACCTCCATTTGGGATCTGTCCAACTTGGTCCAAACAGAAAACCCTTTTCTGCAACTGGGGTATAGTAACTCAAGAATGGGACTCTGTCCAGACTATTCCTGGTTCTTACCATTCCGAGTGATATTTTTCCACCAGCAATAATCTTTGAGCTCTCAGCTCATGATGTAATACGTTTTGGTTTGTTGTGGTTTTTTTGTTTGTTTGTTTGTTTGTTTGTTTGTTTTTTTCCTGTGAGGGCCCGATAGAGTCTTAGGCTTAATCTTTTATGAAAGCAAGGCCACTCAAGTGTTTCAGATTTGTGCTACTGAAGAGAGCGCTTCTGAGACAAACACATGCAACAAAATATCCATCCCAAATAGCCCGTCCGGAATTTCCTTAAGAGTGAGCACATCAAGTCAAGACTAATTAAGCACTAAAGACAAAACTGACAGCACTTAGGTCTGCCAGGCTGCAAGAAAATTGTCATGGAGCGCTAAAACTCCCACACAGCTGGACATATTTCCAGTCTGTAACAAGGCAATTTTTGCCAGGAACTCTTTAATCTCTTCCTCCCAATACCCCACCTTTTCCTTGACTTGTTCTTTACTTCCATTTATTTTATACTGTCATCTGTTATCTCAGATCTACGCCCAAGGCCTATAAAACACAAGCTTCCATCATCCACTGCCAACGAGATTTTAACTTCACAACTTTGTTACTCTTTTTAATATACAATTTGCATGCCAGCACATTAAAAATAATTATATTTTCTAATGTGCAAACACTGAACACTATTCTATAATTTCTAGCAGCAACATGGATGTCAGCTACTTTGTTAATAAATGAGAACTTTTGTACCCATCTAGTTTGAGCCTTGCTTTTAAAGGCCAACAAAAGATCTAAAAGCGTTACCTCTTGTCTCTTAAAGACCAGACAGACAACTGAAATTTCTTATTGGTTAATGTAAACTAATAGCAAAATCTGTAATTGATGACATCCAAGTGTATGCCTTATTACATATCTGGCAGGCTTAGTGTGTAGTAGAAGCTCAATATTGTTACTATGCGTGCTTTATTACAAACTGACAGCTAATTTAACTTTACACCTCAGCAGTGACCACTTACATAAGAGGCTGCTGGTTGCACCATCTATTATTAGTAATGCCTGACATGTTTTTGGAAAGAAAGAACCACCAATGTTTCCATGCTTCAGGGCACAGGATTGATATTTTTAGGGTTACCTTTATTGTCAGGGAGATATTGGTGCCATCTCTGAGGAAAATAACTGCCTGTGTTTATATATCCTGAGAACTCAAATTGTATGTGACCTGTAAAAGTCAGTCAGATGCCAGGGCCTTAAGAACCCTAAAAGATTTTATTTCCTTAGGAAAGGAAGCTGATGCCCTGAAAAGGCAGAGGAAAGAAATACTCTCTTCAGATGCATAAGGAAGAGGAGCCAGAGCTCTGGAGCAGCGGGTGGTAACATGCCGAAGGCAGAAACTGAGGACTGGAAATCAGACTTGGTGTAGGAGGAGATGCACAGGAGTGCCAAGGGAGCAGTAGTGCAAGTGATCAGATGGAAACTGAGATGCAGCAGAGAGGTACTTTTGCACACAGATGCACGTGAGGAGCATGTGTATGTGACTGTAGTGCCTGAGTGCACTGCTCAGGGCCAAGGGCTCCTGTTAGAAGGAGCAAGTCAGACTCCTGCAGCGTACAGGCACAGCGGGGCCGGAATCAGTCTGAACAGAAACCTTCATCCTAGAGCTCCTTACAGCAAGTGGCTTCGCAATGCAGAAAGTCTCCTTGGCAGTGGAGGTTTTTCCTGGCATAATGGTAAAAGCCCAATATTTGCAAAGGAGAAGACCAATTCTATTAAAAACTGCAGACCAGGCTGGATCAAGACAGTCTTAAATATATACTTGCTTTGTGAGCAGAGTCTGAACATGGTGTCTCGTACTGTCAAGGGGATAACAAAAACTGCATTATGAGTTTGGCTGGCTTCAAAACCACATACTCTAAAAGACACCCGTGACTGGGTAAAACTGGAAAGCAACACTTCAGCATTGCCCTGGCAGGTCACTGCCTGGAGTTGGTTCTATAGGCCTGAGGCTCCACAGCTGATCACGTTGCAAAATGTGGAATATGCAAAAATCTTCTTAGGAAAGGGTATTTGTTGATGTTTGATTTTTGTATACTTTCAGACCTAATCAATAAGAAGTGAGATTTAACCTGTGGAACAGAGAGCAGCTAACAAGCTCTAAGTAATGTCCATGTGTTAGAAAAGCAAATTACTTGCTGACAGAATTGCTTTTTTAAAGTTTAGGGGTTGACATGCTTCAATGGCCTCAGACCTAGCGGGAGGTTAAGCAAAACTTGGGAAGGAGGACGTAACGCAAAGACGTGGACACAAAGATGCAGAATTTATGGGCCATCTGGCAGAACTCCCAAGATAAGGAAGAAACTAATAAACCCAACCCAGCAACTGTGTTGGAATCAGCTGCGACCGGGTAAAAGGTAATTCCGGCAGGGGGAGATGGGAACCACCGACTCACGGACCCCCGACCCAAGAAACCCACCCACCCAAGAGAAGAGAAAGACTGAGCAAGAGGACTAACTAGTACGAGAAGAGAGAATCGTTAACCAATAGGAGATAGAGAACTGTGCAACTTGTAGCCAAAGAACACTAATTCCTTTGTCTGCTAAAATGCACACACAGTAAAAGCTTTTAATAGCCGGGGATGTTCGTTCTGCGGAAACCTCCACCTCGCAGAATAAACAGCCTATCCTTCCTACACCAGACCCTGCGTTTACAGAGCTCCTGGAACCGGCGGCAACCAGACACACGGACAGCTCGTTCTGTCCGTGAGGAGGGGGAGACCCCCGCGGCCGCGGCGCTGCCAGCGACCTCTGGGCGCAGGCACCTGCTCCGGCACGGGGCTGAGGGGGGAGACCCCCGGGGTAGCCAGCGGGAGCCTCGATGCCGCTCAGCCTCGCCCTTTGTGGCCCGGAGCGGAGGGGAACGGGCGGGCACCGCGACCGCAGGGACTCCCCCAGTGCCGCCGCCGCCGCCGCTCCCTCAGGAGCGCTCCGTTCCCGTGCCCGTTCCCGTGCCCGCCGGGCCCGCGCAGGCGCGGAGCGGCCCCGCCTGCCCGCAGCGCCCCCGCGCGCCCGGCGCTGGCGCGGGGGCCGGGCCGGGCCGGGCAGGTCGCGCCGCTGCGCCCCCGCCCCTCCCGCCCCGGCCCGGCCCCGGCCCGGCCCGGCTCTGCCTGGGCGGCGCCCGCCGCCTCCCGCTCTGCCGGCCTGCGCGGCCCCACGGGTGCGGCCTCCGCCCGCACGGACACGGTAGGGCGCGGCGAGCCGCCGGCTCCGGCTCCTGCCGCTGACAGGCGGCCCTGCGCGGGGAGGGGCGGCCGCGCTGCGCGGGGGCCGTGAGGGGCGGCCGGGGCACGGGGTCGCTCCGGCGGCACCTCCCGCCCCCGCCCTGCCCTGCCGTGCCCTGCCTTGCCCCGCCGCACTTTCGGTTCCGCGCGGGGCGCGGCGGGGCGGCCGCGGGGCCGGAGGGGCCGCCCCGGGTCGCTCCTTCAGCCCGCGGGGTCCGCGCCCGGCGGCGGGGCGGGCGGTGCCCGCCGGCTGTCAGTGTAAACACCGCTCCGGGGCGGCCGCGGCCTCCCCGGCCGGGCTCGCAGCGCCCCGGGCCGGGCTGTGCGCGGGTGGGCGGCGGGAAGGGGGAGGCGGCCGGGGCAGCGGCAGGGGGGCAGAGCGTTGTTTACACGGGGTGCCGTGAGAACATGGCAGCCCGGGCGGGCGGGCCGCTCGCTGTCATGCGTGTGTGTGTGTGTGTGTGTGTCTGTGTGTGTGCTCGCTCGCTCTGCCCGGCCCCGGGATCGGCGCCCAGCACCCCGCGCCGCTCCCACCCTGCATAAAGGGCCGGAGTCCGGCGTCTTCGTCGTTGTGCCGTGAGCCCAGTCCGTGTTTATCTGTTACCCTTTTTGGCCGTGTTCCCTCTTGTCTCTCTGGCCACTTAACTAATTCGGTTCTTCGCTCTGCACGCTCCCTCCCCTTACGGCTAGGCACTGTCATCTTCCTTGTCGCTCTTCTATAATCGTTTAACTTCTTTAGCCAAGGCAGCAAAACCTTACCTTACACACGGGGCCAATTCGCGAGGACGGTTCTGGGTCTGATCCGAAGTCCTCTGTTCCCCCTTCTACTTTCACTCCACCTCTGACAGTGGACGGGATCGGTTGCTTTAGGAAAGGTTCTGGGAACAGGATGGTTGTTTTGTGTGGCACTATCGGTGACGTACCCTTTATATACTCTTTTTCTGAAACGGTGTCTCAGGTTTCAGTAATACCTGGGTCAGAAGGTCCCTAAACTTTAGACTGTTACGCGTGTCTTTGTGTTCGACAGTCTCATAAGCCATTCAGGAGCTTCACCTCTATAAAGCTGTTGGACTTAAATCTTACAAGTTTTTTGACCTCCAGAATATCCCAGGAAAGCTAATTACGGAATTTGCACTCACTTTTAGTGCGTGTATTGGTGTTTTTTTGTTGTTGTTGTTTTTTAAACCCACATCCTCACAATTTAATTTAATCGTCTCTGTTCCTTTATTATGTAAAACGATGAACAATGCCTCCACGACTCCGGCTTGTGGGGGAGTGGAAGTGGTTGTTAAGGACCAACAAACGACTCGCTGGGAAGAGAAGTGCGGGTACAAAGTGAGGGTATGTGTGTGAGACTCCTGTCAGAGGGAAGAGAAGGTTTCAGGCTATCTTTAAATAGAGAGCAGTGGGAAGAGAGCCTGCTAATAGGATGAAATACGGGAAGGTCCAGAAGAAGCCTGCTGAAGCCACAAAGGTTTTTGCAGAACGTTAATAGTTTCTAAGTGATTATGAGCTTATATGTTTTGGGGCTCATCAGCTTTAGCTATTGAGGTTTCAGAGCAAATTTAAGATGTTCAGATTATCAAATTAAGTATGTATGGAAGGAGTTCCTCTGATTTCTCACTGGATTTGATGCATCATTAATTTGATGCAGCATAATAATTTTCTGTGCATTTCTCAATAAAATTGTTGCTTAGTTGTATGGAAACTTGGGAATTATGGCGTGGCCAGGACTGCTTTGCTGATTGCTTATTTTGATTTCCTTTTCTGTAACTTTTAGTGATTATTGTAATTTTTAAGATACTATAAACTGGAGGGATTGTTTTGTTCCCCTGACCTTGTGGATATAAAAATTTACTTTGTATCCTCTTTTTGAGTATACCCCCGGATCCTTTAGCAACAAGTTTGTTTGGTGGTTTTTGTTTTTTTTTTTTTTTCATTCAGCCAGCTTTTTCAGCAACCTAATTTTTCAGTTTTTAGACTTGTTCTGAGTCTCAAAAAACCCAGAAAGTTAATTTGCCCTTTCTTCTGCACGTGGCAGTGTGAAGCAGTTAGCCAGAGCTGTAAAAAATTATCTGGGAAAGCATCTTAAAAAAAAACCCTCTTCAGTTGACATAAATTTTTACAGAGCATGCTGTGGTTTATATGTATCGGAGTGACAGTGGCATTTACTGGTATATCTGAGGTGCTGCCTATGAAAGGCCACCTTCGTACCCTTAGGAAGCTGTGTCACTGTCAGTGGGATTGTGTGGAGATCTTGGCCAGTATATTTCTGCACGTATAACTTAACTTCATTTTCCAGCCAGCTTTCTAACTTTTTTTTTTTTAATTAAATCAAAAGAAGGCCTTTTTATTTAAAAGAAAAAAAAAAAAAGCTGTGTGTGTGATGCTACTGCTGGCTGCAGTCCTGCTCTTGTGGTTGCCTCTGTGTAGGTATCCGCATAAATCTCTCCTCAGGATCTGGGATGCCAGCTGAATAAAAGGGGGACATTGTTCCAAGTACTCTTGTGGTGGCTCTGAGTGCTGTGGGAGCAGCTGCCTCTGGTCACTGCTGCCCAGACTTCTGCATGTTTGTCTTGTTTTTGTGTGTGAGCATCTTTTTTTATTTTTTCTCAAGTGTTGGGTTCTTTCTGTTTTTTATTTTCCTCTTGCTTGCTTGTTTTATAATTAAAACGAAAGTGTACTCAAACTATTCGCAGATTTATATTTAGAGGTTTGTTTTGAAGCCAGTCCTAAATAACTTCACTTGGAGTCTGGCCTAGTAGAGGTGATGCTCTGCCATCCTTTCCACACGTTTTTATCAATTATTATTTGTAATTCTGTTGAGCTGCATCTTTGCTTTTCTGAAAATCTGGTAGGTGATTATGCACAGGGCCATCAACTTAAGGCACCATTTTCTGGGGGGATGTGCTCATCACAGTTGTGATTTGCAGTGGTTTTAAGCTTTCTGCTGAAAGCATAAAAGAACCATTTGGATTTCTTGTAGGCAAACACTTGGATGCACAGTGTAGGTCTTATAAATGTGCTACTCAACATGTGAATGACCTGCTTGGTATTTTGTAGCCTTTATGACAAGTCCCCTGTAGCCTCTGAAGATGTACAGGCTCTAATTGGTTGTCTTGATCATTGAAATTATCCAAAATTTGAGCGTTTGATATGTCCTTTATAGTGGTAAACAAGTTATAAACTTCTTGCTGTTGAGGCAAAGAATTTAAGGTTCAGATTTTGTAGTTTGATTTTTTTTTTCTAGTTTATTTTGGGGATAGGAGCACCTAGACTTACTTTTGTTTTCCCATGAGATATGTACAAAAACAACAAATGATGCAACAAAGCTGTTTTTGTGGTTGTAAGGGTTATTCCAAAAGTTTCAGAGCCAGTTTTTCTCTGCTTTCTGCATTAACAGGAAGAACAGGAGTGGATGTCAGAACTCTGACAAAATGATTCAGTAATTTCTTTTGGAAATGTTATTTTTTTTTCTCTGTGATGTTATTCCATATTTTGCCATGTTGTAAGCAACCATCTAGAGAGGAGTTACATTTGTAGTGTGTGTTTTTTGGTTTTATTTTTAATCTTCCTGGGTGTTGTTTTGTAATTCAAAACTAGTCATACTGTGAACCAGCTTCTGTGCTGGCTGTTTGTATCACTAGGGACAATCTGTTCTCTTACAAACCTGAATCATCTCTTCCTTTAAGAATCTGAGTCTAATTGTCTTTTGGCCTTTTTGTCTCAGTTAGCCTTGGGAAATGTGAATTTCAGAACTGATTTCTGAAAGTGGCCAGGCAGCCTTTTCCTTTTACAGGAGTCAAGTGAGTTGTGACTTGATAAGGAGAGGACGGGGAATAGATTCAGTGTTCTGCTGAAATTTGAGGGACAAGCAAAAAGCCTTCCACAGAGACATACTCCTTAGGGAAAAGAAAGAGGGCAGATGTTTGACTGGTTCATTCAGAAAGGGCTGTGTCAGTGGGACACAAACACATGGGTGTGCAGGGTGTGTTTGTGCGTTAGCTTCAACTTAGAACTGAAGTGAAGCTGTTTTAACTTCCCACTTGCCTTTTTCTGTATCCTGCCAGAGTTTCGAAAACGTTGCTGAATAGCAAGACTCTCAGTATGAAGTTCAAATCCTATTATCTAAAGACTCTGTGTCTTTCATTTATTCTTTGCCTGGACTGTTCCATACATTCGGTCTGAAGACACCATCTTTTTGATGAATGCTGGGATTTAGTGTCTCACTCATTTTTCTGTAGACTTTCCCCTGTAAGGTTTTTACTGTGAATTTCTGCCAGAACTGGGAAACGAGGATTATCGTTTATGTTCCTGCATTGCCCTGTCTTCATTTCTACAGGTGACTAGTAATTCATGTGCAGACAAATCAGCACAGAAGTGATCTAAACTTCTTGTAACCTAGGAGACATAAATGACACGTTTTTGAGATCACGTGGTCTTGCACACAGTATTGAGTGTTTTCAGTTGCTACTGTTTGGGCACCTGTGTGGGACTGTAGTACATAAAATATAAATACACAGTAGATGTGGTCTAGTATGTGATTGTTCATTTGCATTAATATTCTGTGTGAGAATGAGAATAGCTTTGTGACATCCTAAGGCAAAGACATTATATGAAGTGCTGTATGTTCTTATGTAGCTATAAGTCTGAGTTGCAGGAATAACACTGATTTTGAACCTGTTTGGAGGTTCTGCTTTCAAATTAATGTGCAGTTTCCTGTCTTTGGACTTCTCCTTTGGGTTATAATTGCTTGGTGGTATTTCTAGTGTGGATGTAAATGGAAAATTGTAGAAGAGGAAAAAGTTTTGATAAGAAAACTTTTATTTTTCTTCCTGATTGATTATTTTAGTGCATTCATAAACAGCTGTTTTTCTACTTTACATACTTCTGAATTTAAAGACTTTTGGAATAATTGTTAGGCAGGTAAGGAGTAGGCTCTTTGTGCTAAAAACCTGCAGGGTGACAAGTACATGTGGCTACAAGGGATGCCTGTTAAAGGCTTTGCAGCTTCAGTCTTCTTTGGGGAGCAGAGGAGGCCTTTGCTTTCTGTTTCATCTTGAGAATGTTGATAATCAAAAAGTGGTGCTAGGTTTACAAATGGAACAATGGAAAATAAAGTATTAACTGTCAGGGTTTTTCTTGTGCTGTTACAAATGAAGTATTGTTAGGTATGAATCATGCTTTGTCATGTAAGGTTGGCTGCCTATGTAAACAAAAAAGCCTTATTTTTTATTCTAAGTTGCATATATTTTTTTTTCCTTTCTTTTGAAGTGTATCTTGTGCTTATTCTACTGCTGCTATGATAGTGATTTATATGGTTTCCTCTTCTTTGGTTTTATTTTGTGAGGATTAATTCTCAAGAAAGCTGGGATCAGAATTTATTCTCCTTTTGTATGTAAGGGTGAAAAATACAGGTATCTTGCTCTGTTGTGTCAGGATTTTTTTTTTTTTTTGGTGTGTTGTTTGGTTTTTTGGTTGGGTTTTTTTGGTGTGTTTTTGTAGTGACCTGCCACACACTGTGTGGCAACTGACTTTGTGCCACGTTGGTAGAGCAGTATCAGTGATGCCTTTCTGGGCATATTTTTATGGCAGGCTGAAGGATCCTCAGTACCTTGATAAATTAAAGTTTTAAAGCAATTTTTGCGTAGTATTTTTTGTTGACTTTCTTGCTTAGTTGACATCCTGTTGGGAAGATCAGCAATTGCAGTTTTTGCAAGTGCACCTAAGCTGTCATGCCCACAGGGAGTCCAGTTGTTGTGCATGAATCCAAACTAGTTTTTCCTATATGTGCCAGATTAATTTAGTTTAAGCTGTCTGCTGTTGAAAAGCAGACTCGCTGAGTTTGCCCATTAAAGTATTGCTTATAATTCCTTTTCTTCAGTATGTGTTAGAAGATCCTATTTTCTTGCAGACCTCAGTGAT